GTACATATGAATGAATAAATAGATGAATTAAAACAGGTCGGACAGGAATGGTAGTCCCATAGGAATCGTAGTCCGTTCCCAATTAATTTGTACAAGTGACATTCGTCCAATATACTAATATAACCCCAATACTTCGACTAACCCTAGCCAGTGCTAACCATATAGGACCCCGGACTTCCATTCCTAGGACTACCATTCCTGTCACACCGGTGTGACGTGACAGAGAGCCCCCCTGGTAGATGGTCCTTTATCCATTAATTTCCACAGGTAAGCCTCGCCCCAGATTTTGACCCTCTTACGTCAGGCTTACCCTTACTTGTATTATTAAATGGAGGTTTGACTCTCTGTTTCAATGACCCAATTTTTTTGTCACACCGTTCTGATATACTCTGCTTTACTCCAGCCCTACCGCCGGTCACCACACTGCCCACCACAGGCTGGTGTCCGGACCAGGGACAGTGGATAGACCATGGGTCAGCCTGTTTCTATTACGACACCAATGCCTACTTGGACTGGGGAGAAGCTAGCTTCGAGTGCTACAAAATAGGCGGTTATCTAGCGTCTTTTACTAGCGACAACGAGACCAGTTTTATACTCGAACTGTTGAACGAAGAAGTGGCGTCAAGAAATTTGTGGATTGGTCTCATTAAAAGAAGAAAAGGCAAGTTTTAACTGTATCTGTCTTAAGCCAGAATGGTAACCACGAAAGTTGCATTTGGACACTATAATCAATAAAGTAGCAGTACGTGTAATATAATGGTTACGTGTCATGATTTTAAAATTGAATTCCCTACAGTGTGCCCTTGAATAACGATCACTATTCTCATGTTATGGTATTATTGTATTTTAGAACATTATCAGTGGGAGGATGGTACGGTTGTCAACTACACCAACTGGTCTCCGGCCAAACCGAGCGCTACTGGTGACGAGGAGAGATGTGCCGAGTTTCTGCCTACGTCAGGACTGTGGAATGACGTAACGTGTGACGGAAGCAGGGGTTATATTTGCAAAACGTCTAAAAGTAGGTAGCATGTTTTCGTGATGGTTTTTAATAAAATAATTACCGTATTTGCTTCATGTAAGTGAACGGCCTAATTTCACCTCATATGCATACTACATTTTCTGATATGGATGCAGCATATCCAGAAAATTATGGCGCACGGACTACAGACATCCTCACAGTTACATTGATTATATTTCTTTACATGCCTGTCTACCGTTTATCTTCCAAGACGCAGAATTCAGTATATTTTCACGTTTCAGTTTTCCCTACGGTTGCTACATCCTCCACGACAACACGCACAAATACCTCCTCGTCAACACCCCCCAGACATGAGGAACATGTTGTCCGCGTTGCAGCTAGAGGTAATACAGTCATTTTGTTGATTTGTTCTGTTACTATATAATACTATATAATACTAGCCTTATAAAGAAAAGTCACACTGCAATTTTTTTTTAAAGATATATAAGTCTGTCCATTCACCACTTTTTTAGGTACTCCAATATATCAACAGTGGTTGCCACCTCCACCTACCACAAATGTTATACTTTCTATGGTTATATGCCTATGTCAAGTTGATTCGGCAATAAACTATACTATACTGTTGATTTAAGTCGTTATGTTTTTCCCAGGGTATATTTCAGCTTCACACGATCTGATTAATCAAGTTGGGTTGTAATTGACGTTATTTTTACAAAAGAGCTCTTACAAAAAGTGGCCTCAATTTTTTTTGTAATGTATAATCCATGGTCTGATAATATTCATCACATTCTCTCCAGCACAAGGCCTGACTACTGGGTACACTGTGGGCATAGCTCTCCTGTCCATCATCATAGTGGGTCTTCTTGGTTTCTTCGGGTACATTGTCTATAATCGACCTGGGAAGACTGAAGTCTCGGCTTTTTACAATTCTGAAGATGGAGACAAAGTAGAGTTTTCTAGAACATCTGACATCACTGATAGACCTGCTGCGTAAATCATGTATGTTACACGCCGTTGTCACGTGGCACCTTACTTATGGCAACTGCATGAAACTGAATTTTCTCATCGATCGAAAACAAGCGTCAACCATCAGTATTTAAATTGATAACAAATTTATGATTCTGAAAACAGTGCTCTCATTAATGAGTTGAAAATTGAACTTCACTACCATTCCATCACTGTATTCTAGAATAAAACATTTATTTATCTAAAATAGAATTCAAAGCATTGCAGAAGAGTAGTTGCAAATTGTTATTTCCATTGAACAACTGATATAAAATTAAATAACGGAATAATGGAGCTTGAAAAAACAAAATAAAACAAAAAATTAATTACCGTGGAATGCAAGAACACTATATGTCACATCTAACGCAATTCCACTATCTATAGCGACTACTACCCGGTCACATTACATCCCTGGTGAATATTCAGCTGATAAAACGAAGGCAATTTACTTTACTTATAGTTAATCCAGAGTACCCTTTATTTATCCTGTTACAGGTATGTCGTAACTGACAAAAGCAATTTCGTTTTAATACACAAATAAAACATTAATAACACAATTTCGAGCGTTGGTGTTATATGTCGTCAAAACCGTAACACAACGGCGGTGATGTCTCCAGATATTTACCATACTAACTGGTTTTCTTTTTCCCTGGTTGAGAGATCTAGAATCTCCTAGATCTAGAATCTCCTTGATCTAAGACGGACAACACGGGTAATCCAGCCAATTTCTTTGTGAATTAAGGGTTAAGTATCCTGAATACATACGATACACAGGATGAAACACATACAAATAATAATAATAAAAAATAATAATCAACTTTATTCAAAGAGGGTAAAACATGTTAAGTGTATACACTTATCTTACACATGACCATCTGAGAGGTTAGAATAAAATATTGTGTTAATGAATAAAAGATGAATAATTTCATTTAATAAACCAATAATGAAGTAAAATTGAATCAAATTAAACGTAATAATAATTATATGAATAAAGCAAAAAGACAATATGTTAGAATATGTTAGTAAAAATCTTAAAGATACATAATTTATTATGTATACAATTATAATTGTATACATAAATTTTTTCTTTTGATTTTTTAAAAACAATTTTTTAAAAGTATCCAACTCTTTGGTGTTTTTAATTTCAGAGTTTCAACGCCTATTTTACTTTATTAAAAGGCAGTTCCATATATCGAATATCCATATCCATATATTGCCTTTAGTATGCCTTTATGTCTGCCAATTGGTGAATAGATATTTCTGCCTGTAGTGTCGATGGTGTGGTGTCCAGTAAGTCCCTGACGTAAATTGGTGAAATCCATTTAACGTAAATTGGTGAAATCCATTTAATGTTGCTTTCTTAAATCTAAAACATAACGAAGTAATACTTGTAGTAAGGTATATTGAGGTAATTTCATATATGGTTAGTAGAGTCCTTTGGAGCAATAAAATCCAAACTGTTCTTTACTTTTGCTTTATAATTGAAGTTACCCGAATTCATTACAATTGAAAACATCCCTTAATACTTGGTATTAGTTCGCTCTAACTACCAAAAACATTAAGATGTTCAGGTGACATGATTCTATCTTACACACCTTAAGAATTGGGATTTAAAAAAAAAGTGTAATTTGGTCATGAAAAGTCCACAGTGAATACAGACCCAAATAGTCCTGTCGTTGTATTTAACTACCCACCACAGAATAAAAAAGAAATATAAAAACTCAATATCACATGATGTGGTTACATCAGTATCGTCGTACAAAAATAAAACGTTTTTTATGGAATATCATTGTCAATATATTTACACGTTTATATATACCTTTTTTCATTTTTCCTTTTTATTTCGTTTCTAATTATACAAACATAATACTACAAATTAAACTAATAAGATATACGCTCGATCGTCTTGTGTAATGGTGAGATGATCTCTTTCGCGACCACTGACACTTGATTTGAGAGCCATGGACGTTATACAGGAATTGGAGTCACTGATCAGCACACTGTCATCTGGACTGCATTTCAACCGTTTGATATTTACCAATGTCCTCTTCTCTTCAAACTGTAACCTTTTCAGTCTTTTCGAAGGTCAGGACTTCGTAATCTAGTAAACCCTTCCAGGAGTTTGTTATTTCATCAAATGAAGGGCGTGCGGTTGGTTTCTCCTCCCAACATGATAGCATGATATTATACCTGGAATTGTCAAATCATGATGTACATATATTTTCTTCATACCGCTATCAGAATAATTGTACAAAATTCAGTACAACGGTACCTATATAGTCTCTTCTTGGATCCATACAAGCGATTTGCATTTCCTTAATTTCCTCTGTTAATTACACCCACACTGAAAGCATCACACATCTAATAAATGAACAAACATTGTGTGGCTTTGATGTGCAAAAAACTTTATGTTTTAAGCACCCTGTTTCATTTGTTGTGCGTTGTTCACGTTGGTTGTCCACAGACACAAACTCACATGTCAGGTGAACAATGTGGTGGTTGTGACATCCGGTATCCCTCAGTTAAGGCTTTCATCACTTTCTTGGCTGACATACCGGAGTACGGTTTGGATCCTGGATTAAGAAGACTTTATGATAATCTAATCACGGTTAATAGAAGTAGAAAATGCGTTAATATCTACTTAAAACTATTAACTAAGAAAACTTGGACTCCTACCCATTGCGACAATCTCCCATAGCAGTACACCATACGCCCAGACATCAGACTGCGTGGTAAATTTGTTGTCAAAAAGAGCTTCGGGAGACATCCAGCGAACTGGTAAACGGCCCTAAAGAAAGATTTAATAGAACAGTGACAAACATGTGGGTACACAAAATATGTTTTTGTCTCAAAGAAAATCCCACAAAAATATACAATCATATATACTTTATCTTATTTACCTTTGAGCAAAAACAGAGCTTCGTTGTGCTTTTGAACATTTGGGTACATAAACATATTTTCAACAAAGGCGGCGTAAGTTTTCTGCAAAACATGATGGAATACCTGCGACTTCCTGTCATACGGGTGGTTTTCGATGTCGTTTGTGGCAAAACCAAAGCCAGCAATCTTACACTTTCTGCCGTCGGCCAGCAATACGTTTCTTGCGGCCAGGTCTCTGTGCAGAATCTAAGAGAAGGTAAATATATAAACAACATGGTGCTTGCTCAACAGCATGAGTGTCAGTGACAAATGAATTGTTAGGAACAAAACCCTCAGTATTGTTTCAAAAGGTCTTGCTATCACCAGGTTCAAAGCAGAGAATGTGTTATAGAGGATATTGTCCCAAAACCTACAATATAGGGATATAATTAGTTGCGAAACGCTGCCTTATTTGCTGTTAACATTTATGTATGTTTTAAATCACTGGCTTGCAATCTAACCAATAAATTATTATCAATACTAACGGACAAAGAAGAAAGGTGCGCCATCCCATTGGCTACATCCAAGGCAAAACCCATCAGATCACGCGTTGTCAGGGAAGAGCCGGTGCCATATAAGTTGTCATACACCCCCTTATTTCGAGATCTGACATTTCGTAGAAACGACTGTAGATTTCCGTTTGGGAGGTATTCCAGGATAATCATTGGTAAACCTAAATGACAAAATAAATCAAACTTTTTACACTGGTTATACAATATTTTACCGTTACTCGCTCGACTATTACGAGCCAATAAACATATTGTACATAACTCTACACTGAATGGTGAATCAAACATGTTATTCAGCTTACTGAAACTCTAAATTAACGATTTAAAGATTTCACGATGGTCAAATATGGCTCTCCTATATCTGAAAAAGGAATTTAGTGACAATCAATTATAACAGTACTAGGAATTATCACGGCAGTATTGAATGTAGAAACCTACCACCTTCGCCTGTGCAGGAACCAAGTAGAGATATTACATTTGGGTGAGGACGCAGTGCTTGCATCACTTTTAGTTCATCCAGCAGATATTCTACAATGGCTGCATCTTCAAGATCTAAGACAATCGATCGCATCAGTTAATGTTTTGAAATGAGAAATACAGATTATTCTTAAAATAAGCAATACATGCTATTCTTAAAAGGAGTACCATTTATGTTGGTTGCACTATAAAGATACACTGTATAGATATCAACACTTACCTTATACTTAAGTGCCCGAAGGTCAGCCGTTACCAGTTTGTGATACCCCGTAAAGTTACATTTACGTATTCTCAAATGAGACTCGATGTAAAACGTACGTGAAAATGTTTGTTATAGACAAATTATATAATAACCTCGTGAGTGGGAGATATTTATTGTGTAGAGCAAGTACTCTAGATCTGTACCACGTTATCTGGTGGTAAGTATACTATGTGCACTGAGGTCTCTTCGCACCTGCACTTAGTTGTGTGCAGAAAGAAACATTCCAGGGTTTACAGCTTCTTTTACATTACTACATTAAGTTACTTGTTTAAAATAAGAGAAACAAATATCACCTTTAACTGTCTTCACTGCCACTGGTGTCCACACTCGTTTACCGTGCAAATCATATATTTCCCCCTTAAGATTCCGTCCGGAGGCTCCATTGCCGATCTTACCAATGAGCCTGACGTATTTTCTGGGAATCTCAGTGTCACATGGCTGTGCTACTGGATATGTCGTTACAGCATCGACCTTAAATGGCATGCGTCACGCATGTTTATTAACATGTTCTCTTAGGTACCTGTATTGTGTCCTATTACATGCTACATGAACAGTATATTGTTTTTTATTCCTCGCTTTTAAGAAAAAAATTGAAACCTACATCGCAACTACCGGTGTATTTTAATATACTTAAAAGTTTTAAACTACTGTATGAATTGCTTTACCGTTTTCTTTCCCTTGTGTAAACTCGTGTAAACTGACGTCTCCTCGATTTTCTTCTGAGGTTTTTCATATTCCCCTTCTTGAACACGCGAAATCTGTTGGGAGAGATGGGTACATGTAAAGATCCTTGTTAATCGACTTAATGAACAGTATATTTTTTCTCTCGTATTGAAAATAATTTGAAACCTATATCTACTGAGTTAAAACTATATCTACCGAGTTAAAACTATTGTACAGTATATTTTTCCTCATATTAAAAATAATTTGAAACCTATATCTACTGAGTTAAAACTATATCTACCGAGTTAAATCTACTGTACAGTATATTTTCCCCTCATATTAAAAATAAATTGAAACCCATATCAAGTTAAAACTACTGTAGGGACTGCTTTACCGTTTTCTTATCCTTGTGTAAACTCGTATAAACTGACGTCACCTCGATATTCTTCTGAGGTGTTTCATATGCCCCTTCTCGAACACGCGGAATCTGTTGGGAGAGATGGGTAATGAAAATATCCATGTTAAGTGACCTAAATAATTCTCATAATCTACCCTGCAATCCAAACTACAGTTGAAGCATCTAGAGTATAGGTGGACCTTTAATTATTCTCAGTCTTGTTTTGTAATTAACAATATCAATTAGACGGAATTGTCAGTCTAGTAATAGGTTAGAAAACTAAAATGCACACAATACAGATATAAAACGTATTCTAAGTACAGGGAACGCATTTTTATTGATAATTTTTTAAATATTTATTTTAGCGCCCAAATCCTCCTTTGTGTACCTTTAATGTAAAAAATGCACGGCTAGGTGACTTATCTATTAGCATTACCTTGATACGTACCTCACTTATTTCTGTTACGTCCTCTTCTGTGAGTTCGTTATCTGAATTGTAACACCGTAACACGTTTATAGTTTAATGGGTACTTTAAAGCACATTTTCAACCACTGTGTAAATATTTAATTACCATCCGAATCTTAATTATGTCGATCGTAACACGTTTAATAATATTTGGTTCCTTGTTTCAAGTGAAAAATATTCTTAGTTATATAAAGTATATACCTGTTTTCTTCCGTCGCCTCCGTTTGAAGAAAAAAGTGACGACCGTAGAAGAAATGGCAAGAATGAATACAGCGACTGTGACGCCCACTGCTACAGACACTGAAATGAGAGCTAACAATCTGAACAACAAAACCTTTCAAGGATGAACATGAATTCAAAGAACTTAAACGGCGTTTTTAATTATTTGATACGATGTATTAACTCGATTAACTTTGTATCAAAAGTGCATCTGCACATGGATTTTATACATAGGGTCTATTTTGATTGCATTTAAAAAATATTTCATCAAAGTCACAATTTAAACGTAATCACACATCAGTAACATACAATGGTAACAAATTGGCACATGGATATTACGGGATCAAATACCTGTGTTTTCTGTCCGAAGCTCAAACATTCTAGGCTCCAGCTGAGTTTCAAAAGGAACAGATTCCCCTTCATGTGCAATGATCCTGAATTCATAATTGCCTTCTTTCAGTGAAATGGCCACAGTTACATTGTTCTGTGAGGCTGGGATGTCAGTTGCTAGATCCCTGAAAACTGCGTCACCTGCTCTTCTATACTGAACTGTATAATTGATAGGATTTCCCTTCTGAAGTTCCCACACAACGGTCAAATATTCCTCACTGTACACAACCGACTGAATGACCACACTGGGGAGATCTGCAAACCAAGTCAAAGTTGAATTGCAGTGTAAAGTGCATTGACTTATTTACAATCCTCCATATTCCCTCACCTCAAAATAATGTTGTCACCAAAGAAAAATTCCATCGACATTCTCAGAAGACATAAAATAATGCACTGATTTAACAGTAAGACGCAGTATACTGTATACGATGGGGTAATTTAAAATATCTCAATCAGTTGTCGAGTTTCACTTATCGTTGCACGACATGTTAAAATGCATAATTTTGTCGTCGCTTAGTCACTACTACGTAGGCATGTCTATCATTATGCAGACACGGGTACATACCTGCTGTCGTAAAATCACCCTCTATCCTTCTACTAGCATTAGGCAGCTGTGGTCGCGTGTTCTTAGCCTGGATACTAATCCTGTACGGAGTTGAAGCGTTTAGGTTCTGTAAGATGGCGGACAGTTCTTGTCTGTTGCCTTGTGGAATGTCTTCCAAACTTTGGTATGCTGTGTCATCTTCTGACACCTTTTTATATCTCACCACAAAGAACTGAGGATAACCGCCGTCATATCCTGGCACCCACTTCACTATGATGGTTCTTGATGTTACCTCTGTAGCTGTCATGGAAACTGGAGGCTCCGGAGGACCTGTGAAAATTTTCTATGTTAATATCTGTTTACTGAATAGTATCAGCCAAAAGGCCCATTAAATGACACAGCAATAAATTATGCAACTAATCTGTTTCGTAATAAAAGCAACTTGTGTTAAATATTTTGGTCACTAACGTACTTCTATGATACCATAGACGATGTTATATTGCCGGTATATATATATATATATAATATGAATTTGGCACTTGCTGAACACGTCCATTTATATGAAAAGCTATCAGAAGTAGTCAAATCCCCAAAACGACATCACGATCTTAATAAAACAATGTTCCTAAAGCAATAGTAAGAGTAAGTAATATATATACACTCACCGTCAGGTTTCAGCTCAAAATCTATGCTCTCCTCGCCAACTTCATTGATGACTTTACAGATATAGGTACCAAAATCATTAATCTGAATATCTGATATCGTCAAGTTCTGCCCAGAACCACGGCTGTTGGTCTCATTCCCAAAGTACCATGTGTATGATTTTGGTGGTGGATAGGCACAGACATTGCACACAATGGTTTTTGTGTCTCTGAGTTTAGCAGCTACTAGTACATTGTGCAAACCACGCAGCTCGGGAGGATCTGAAATAAATCACAATATTGAAAACTATTCAAAATGCTTTATAGTATTTCGAAATGCTCAAAGGGAAGGTTACTCAAACAAAGTAGCTGTATTTAAACGTGGTACATTTTATAATCGATACTGAGATTAAAAAACTTACACTTTGTTCTGACTGTAACTTCACTGGACATGTCTTGCTCTGGTGTCCCTGAGTTCACACTACATTGATATTTCCCATCATATTCAGCTACACTGTCACAAGAGAAATTACCAAAGCTCTTGTTCCACGTTATCATGCTTTTCTTCCCTACGCTGATGCCATATGGAAATGACTGGGTGACTTGGACTGTGGTTACAGTGTACTTTGTTAAATCAACTATACCAGCGCCATCTTTATTCCATACCAGAGTATCGTCTGCTGGTGTAGGGTTTCCAGAGAAGATGCATTCCAGCTTGAAATGGGGATCGCTGTAGAAAGGAGTGATTGTCTGCGGGGCAAGTGGATTGTGAATAAATGCAGGGACTGAAATAATAACATGCATGTACATTAGTAACAGATGTTTCATTCGTGCTAACAGCCAAAATAATCCCTGCACGATACATTTTTTGTATGTAATCCAGCCCTACTTACAAGGTATCTTCGATGTAGCTTAAATATAATGGAATAAGGGACTTTTAAAAAAGCACACTTTTCTGATATAATGCGGCAACTTTTGATTATACCAGCCCGCTATATGCAATGACCTTAATGTGATTTTACACTACACGTGGCCATGAATAATAAATTGATATAAAAACGCCATTAGATGTTATAGCAGATATAGTATAAGTACCATTAACAACTGCTATCGTCTGAGTTCTTGACGGACTGGAACCAGCTCCCACGGAGTTCCGAACTTCACAGGCGTAACCTACGGCATCACGGATGTCATAGACTCTCATAGTGAAAATGTTGGAGTGAGATGTTGAAATCACTGCACTTCCTTTTTTCACTGTATAAGTGTACGTGGCTGGGTTTCCCCCTTGGGCATGTGGCACGGAGCAGGTCAAGGTGACAGTGGTGTTAATTTGTGGCGAAAGTGAACTAATGGTTAACTTTGGCGTCCCAGGTGGGTCTGAAAAATTATATCAGATACTTCACATATAAAATCTTATTAAAGGTTCGAACTTGTTATTATATAATTGCTGTCTGAACTTACTGTTCTTGACATATCAGCCATGTATGTACAGGTAATACAAACTGATGTTTAATGCACATACATGTATTATGCATTAATTAATGTTTCCTCGTCATTCTAAAATTACTGATGTCATGCACATGTTAACTTCATCGATTAAATCATGTCTCAGGCTTACATTGTATAACAACCCTTGAATGGTCCTCTGCTCGATTTCCAACACCATTGTATGCTGTACATTTCACCCCAACCTCATTTCCTGCACTTTTCCTGGTACTAGCTGAACTCCCAGACTTCCACTTTAATATGCTTTTGCTGGTGGTGATTTTACCATTGACTGTGGGGGGAGGGTTTTCAGTCTCAAATACAGCACTGGGTAGTGCAGCGCCCGTTGACATAGTCCACTGCAGAGAAGCAGCAGGTTTGGCAGTGGCAGTACATTCCAGACGTAGATCTTGACTTACTCTCACTGTCATGACACTTGGTACAGCAGGGGATATTCTAGGTGGGACTGAGGGAGACCAAATTTTTTGCATGTGCATATGCAGATTTCGATTAAACGTATTTTGCTAATTTTACTTACCAATTAAATAAAAGTATGTGACCACCCAATATGTCCGACAGGCCAAATATGTCCTACGACCAGAGAAGGTCAGATATGTCCGACAAAAAAAGAGCCAAATGTGTCCGACATGCCAGATATGTCGGACACAACTGGCTCTTTTTTGTCGGACGTATCTGGCCTGTCGGATACATCTGGCTCTTTTTTGTCGGACATATCTGGCCTGTCGGACACATCTGGCTCTTTTTTGGCCCTATCTCTGGTCGTAGGACATATCTGGCCTGTCGGACATATCGGGTCGTTACAAAAGTACCAGTCATTACCATGATATCCTACTAAGAGTTATGCAGCAGTTGATATTCACATTTGATGAGGCAGATTTATAGATTTGAATCTATGATAAAACATTCGACTAACCATTAACAGTCAGCACAACAGAAGCTGGTGCTCCACTTCCAGCAGTATTAACTGGAGTACAGTTATATGTCCCTTCATCAGATACTTGAAGATTGCTCTTGTACAGAGTTCCTGTATTAGTTGCTATCATTGTGGAGGCAGAGTCTTTGGTCCACCTGAATGTAACAGTTGGATTTCCTTGTTGGGTAACTCTGCACTGGAGACTTGCAATATTTCCTATTACCTTGACAACTTGAGTAGAAACTGCCAAGGCTGAACCAGATGGATCTGAATACAGAAATACTTAGGGCATAAATAAAAAATACACATATATCTAGTGTATGAATAACATTTTTATTGTCTTTTTACAACTAGATAAATCAGCTTTAAAATAAATTATCCATCTAAATAACGGAATCAAACCTTTTTGCATTAAGAAATACTCACATAGGACATTGAATGTAAATGTAGCTGAGTTTGTTCCAGCAGTGTTTGCTACAGAACAAGTAAAGGTGCCAGCACCACGTTTAATGTTGGTTATAGTCAGCATATATTTTCCAATCCTCGTTGAGCTTGACAACACCTGACTTCCACGTCGCCATGTGTACGTTACTGGATCTGAACCACCCACATTCTCACAGTATAAAAATGCTGTGCTATCCTCAACGATGTCCCTGTTGACTGCACCAGATGATGAGGTGGTGATTCTTGGAACAGATGGTGGCACTGGAATACGTGTTTCTCATATATTTAGTGGAAGCAACATGCTGCATTGGTAAATAAGATACATATTCATGGAGTGATTATATTATTTGGTAATTTTCCATCCTATTATAACCATTTCAAATTAAGATCAAACTGGTGCAACTTTATACCTTATCTAAAATAACACATCCCTGAACGCCGCGGTAAGTTAAAACAATGATTTATCAACATAAATGTGAATGGTGGAATAAAACCTCTTCACATCTAGAAATACTCACATATGACATTAAATGTAAAAGAAGCTGAGTTTGTTCCAGCCACATTTCTAACAGTACAGGTATAGGTAGCAGTATAACGTTTGATATTGGTTATGGTCAGCTTATATTTGCCACGTTCCATTGTCCCCGACAACACCTGACCTCCACGTCGCCATGTGTAGGTCACTGGAGTTGAACCACCAATATTCACACAGTATAAATATGCTGTTGTACCCTCAACGACGTCCCTGTTGATTGCACCAGATGGTGAGGTGCTGATTCTTGGAGCAGATGGTGGCACTGGAAGAGGAGATCGTGTCATGTGTATTAAATATCAGTCTTTTATCATCTTAAGTGAAAATAAAATGTTGCAGTGATATATCAAAATGTCAGAAACTGCAATTGATAAATGTATATTATTGAAATTGTTCTTTTTCAACAATTTTCTCTGACTGTTAAAGCACTATGATAGTCTGATAAATGTTTGCTATATACTGCGTAATGCTCATTAACCTGGGCCCGGTTTCATCAAGGCTGGATAGCACTATCCTATGGACAAAAATAGAGCTATCCAGAGGATAGTGCGTTTCATCAACAGTAGATAGCGTTATCCAGGGAATAAATCAGCCTATCCAGAGGATAAAGTTGTCCGATCGAAATAGGTGGGATCAATCTGCTATCATGCTGTTAAATCATCAAAAATGGCGAACCTGCTTGCTTTGGTAGTAAATCCTATGAGAATTCACAGGCGTAGAATGATTAGAAAGAGAATTTTAGAAGATGTATGTTTGCTTTTGATGCTTTAAGTGATACTGAATCAATAGATTACATAACAGACTATCAAAGTTGACATCGCGCTTGCTACGAACAGAACTCATGCAATCTCCGTGAGAGACCAATTATCTTTTATTTTTACTAAAACATACCTTTTAAATAGTCGAAAAAATTCTACATTGCTTTTGACAGAATCTGCCAAAGTCAGCCACTTTGTTAGAAAGTATGTCACGACCTTCCCCTTCAACTGCAAATTGTAAACATTGCATGAGGCACAACCAATGCAATGTAGTGTGTTTTGAAACTGACACTAAAATATCCTGTAGATATTGTCCCCATTATTTTAATGAATGTACCATCTTGTAACATACTAAGAATATTGTTTATTATGGGTAATTTATTTTCCAAATATGGTATAGATCATTTTTTGCTAGCGCTAGCAACTATCATGGCTTTTATAATGTTTATAGCAACCAACTGCATTATGGGAATGTCTTTTTCCAAATATGGTATTGTATAGATTTTTATCCACTGGATTACTATCATGCTGTTTACCCAGCCATTGTGAAACACAAATGTATACAGAGGATAACTATCCAGAGGATAAGAGATTTATACCTTGGATAGTGTTATCCATAGGATAGCCTATCCAGCCTTGATGAAACCGGGCCCTGGTGTAGAATAAATGGTTTGATTTGAAGCCCAATGATGATATTGAAAACATTACATAACCGATACTGGAATGAAACGTTTGTAGATTGAGAAATACTCACATATGACATTGAATGTAAATGTAGCTGAGTTTGTTCCAGCAGAGTTGGATACTGTGCAGGTATATGTAGCAGTATAACGTTTGATATTGGTTATGGTCAACTTATTTTTTCCACTTTCCATTGACCCATACAACACCTGACCTCCTCGTCGCCATGTGTACGTCACTTGACCTGAACCACCAATATTCTCACAGTATAAATATGCTGTTGTACCCTCAACGACGTCCCTGTTGATTGCACCAGATGGTGAGGTGCTGATTCTTGGAGCAGATGGTGGCACTGGAAGTTCATGGAAAATGTTGCCAATAAGATATCATAAAATTCCTAATCATAGCTTTATAAATTTTAATGAAATTTGAACATATATTCTATTTAAGAATAAAACTTATAGGTTTGCTTAATATAGATTTCACATGACAGCTGGATTTTCAAACGATATAACGGGTCAATGTTTTCATAACCATGAAGCAATTGTCATTGTAATAATCAAAGCAATTTTTTCACGTTTTTGTGAAGTACATTTTCCAAATTGCTAGACTTAAACTGCAGTACTTTTCAGGATTAAGGTGATCAAAAAATTGAACATCAAACAGAAGTTTGACTGATAAAGAGGTGAAATAGTAATTAATTGAATTCATCATGGCAAGTGGTGCTAGGTTTGGGGGATACAATTTTATAACCTTCCTGGGTCCTTTATTAAAAACAAACTGATGGGGAATGTTCGTGCACAGAATTGTGAGAGACACTGTATGTGGTAAGGGCGGTACGTGCATGAGCTATTCATGGCGATAGAATGTCTACTGTAGAGGCTGCGAACTCAGTATCACACAGTATAATATCAGTATGAAACTAGTCCAGACTGACATTTGCGGAAAATGCGCATGTACCGATTCCAATCTTCAAAACCAACATGATTCGAAACTAAGATATTCTTTTTATTGACTCGTTAGGATCATGCGCTGGTGTGAACAGCATAATAAAATACATAATTTGCTTCCTTCAATAGACATTTTGTATTGAGCATATTATGTGAGTCATAATTATCACATGTGTAACAGAGCTACAATACATTAAGCAATTAAATAGAAGACTTTAAATCAAGTATTGGTAAACATTCAGACAAGCTGCTTCTTTTTTAATGTTAATCTAGGCCAACAGAGTTGCGATTCACCTAAGGGTTGAAGAGGACGTTTGACCTGTCAGTAAAATCTGAATCAAGCGTGAGTATACGACCTACCTCTCACAACAAGTCTCGTATAATCCCGTCTCTCGCTGTTACTTGTAATTAATGAGCAACTTGTCTGACTGAGTAAACGTATCTTACACGTGTACAGTCCGCTGTCCTGTTGTGTTACAGACTGCAGCCTCAGAGATGCCTGACCAGTAAGGCTGGCTCTTTGTCCCCAGGTGTTGTTGTTTAAATAGGATGAACTATAGGCATACGTCCTTGTCAGATTGTTACTGGATGTTGTCCATGTGACTCTGTAGACATGCGCAGCACCATTACTTATAGTAAATGAACATGACAGATTAACAGATCGTCCTTGAATACCAGATACCGTCGAGGGCGCGTAGACTGACCAGCTGCATGATGTGCCTAAGGATAAAAGGGAAACATGCATTATTGTATGTCCGTTTCAAGAAATAAATACAGTTCATATCAAGATTTGAAATCAACTGGTGAGCTGGTGAATACAATGTCCGTACAATTAAATCCGTGACAGCTTACAAATGTCTACATTCGTCTACACATTCACAGTGTTGAGAAAAAGGAAGTATCTAAATTTACCTTCAATTGTTAAAGGGTGAAAGGAATTGTCCTGCTTTTTTAATTTAACTAAATCGTAAAGTCTTTCGAAAAATATGTCTCAACTGTTAAGGTAGTGAAATCATTCCACCTTTTGCCATAAATACCCTTTGCACATCTCCTGTGAGGTTACTGAATCTTACCATTTGCTGTCCCAACGATTGTCAAAATTACTAGTATTTCTTTCCACTCCAATGTCCAGCTATGGCGGACCTTACAAATGACGTCCATTTCAACAGCGCACTTTACAATACAGCTGGAATTATACACCATGATCAATTCTTTATGTCAGAAATTAATTAATCTGTAGGCATGAAAAACAGTAAGAATTACTTTTATTTAATTGATCCTAAGGAGACCTTTATATGATTGCATCACCTCTGTAAGTTTACCCTCTACTGAAATTACAATGCAATAAATCACATGTTTCAAACACAATTGCAAATTGAAAGAGTAAAAGAACCGTAGTCTAGAAAACTATTCAACAGTTCCTGCTTACTTCCTACCAAACCAAATGCACTTGCATTTTTCGGCAAATATGACATAAATGCGTAAGTCTCATGAAGAGATTATACATCAGTTATCCTTTCTTCTTTCTGTAGTGATAGATTTTGGTCACGTAGAACCCTGAAACTCTCATTTTCCCATAAAGACATCGTTTTAATGACATTTGTTCTAAGACGAGAGCGCCACATGTGGCTAACACTTTAAGTCAGCATTTTTCTCCATTTCAAAAAAAAAAAAAAAAAAAAAAAAATTACCCGCACAGTGTTGTATGGCTGTGAATGGACAGAGAACGGGCGTGACAACCCTTCCCGATCTCAATATCTGAAAATCATTACCTGGACGTTGGAGTACTCCTGTACTTTCCTTGGGGTAGTTAACTGCTGCAGTAATTAAAAGCAGTGCCGTGCGTCTACATCTGGCGAAGATGGATGCTTGTGCACGCATATTCCAACACTAAGGGTTGGCTAGAAAAGCAAAAACTGCTAGCAAATTTTCTTACCTCGTAAGTACACGAAGTATCTACACCAAGTAAAATACAGTAGAGCTTTGATAAAAACCTAAATTGTTTGCTTAATAAGTTTGCCTACTTCCGCGTTCCCGAGCACCCTTTTCAACGCATTGAATGCTGACTGAGGTTGATGCGACTTTTACACCTGACACAGTTCTATTAGGATAAGTTCGAATTACACAAGTTGATCGCAGGCATTCAGGTTTTAACGCCTATATATCTGAGCACTAAAATAACGTCGCCTTTATTAGCTTACGTAAACATACAGGGTAGTACATTTGTGAGAAAAAGTACCGTGTATATCAAACAGTCTCCAAAGTGAAATGTTAGACTCACAGTGACACATTTAATACTGAATCATATGATGTTCTAGATTCAAGTTGTACTCCATAGAAAGGTTGAAAGGACAAGTAACAATTACAAGTTCCCATGGTGACGAAGGATCACGAGACCGGAGAACAAGCGCGCCCCTATGGGTCCGATCAAACTTGTCTTTTGACAAAAAGTAAAAAAAATAGAATAAAATATAAATAAATAGAAATAAAACAGGTACAGATAAGAACAATGCTCGATTTGACACTAACATATCGTCTTTGTGATGTTAGTAATTGACAGCCACGAGTGAATAAGGAGCGGGGAGTATTATGTAGAGTAACTTGAGTTGGTTGACATGACCTCGTCGTACTTAAGCGAGAATGTAATGTAAACGGAGAAAACGATGTAGGAGGGTGTAGGGAGAGCAATGTAGGAGGTTGAAGAGAGAGGAAGAAAATGTACTTAAGTTAGGAAGTGACAATAAAGAATATGAAGGAACATGAAAGTTGTTCAGTTCTTACCTCGCGTAATAAAGTCAATGTCATGGTGACATAAATGGTGTCGAATGCTTGACAACGAAAAATCCTCCAAAAGGTTTTAGGGCTCCGTTGTTACCTTTGCTCGTGGAAGGCAGCTTTGATAGATTGTCTGTTGACTACAAAACGTCTTTGCCAGTTACGAGTTGAGGGAATAAGACACTTGTTACATTCATAGACAGTTTAACTGGATGGCCGGAAGCATTCCCGGTACCCGACATTACAGCACCTGTCATTGCAAGGTTGCTATTTGATGAAATAATGTAGGCATGGGGTACCCTAAACACTCCCTGCTCCTTATTTACTCGTGGCTGTCAATTACTAACATTACATCTGTAAGTCTGCATTCTCACACTGACAAATTTTTCTCTTCACAAATAATTCATAATTCCTTATGAAGATCTTGACGCAGGGGTGGCGTTGTTGTTTAAGTATAAAAAGCCGAACCTTTAGCGTCTTTAAATATTTCTTGATGACTTCCTCATCTTGGACAACAAAATTTGAATATGACAAAGGCTATATGCAAGGATGAAACAAACAGCGTAATTATTTCAGGTACCTTATTATTTTTAATAAAATAATACGATAGCAGTTGGCCATTACCAATAGATCAGCAGTGTATGAATTAGCCAAAACAGAAAATCACCGACCATATAAACTGACACATTGTTAGTGCCAATATCATACGATGGCGAATTCATCAGAGGCGCACGTCCACTTATCTATCAATCGCATAATCGAGGTGGCAATACACTCGATAATACTAGCGATAAGTAAACCAAGGTGTGACTGTGTCATTATAATACACTATAGGACATATCGGACAAGGTTGTATGCTGTATGGCAGTGTGGATGATGGACAGGGGGACCTTCTTACTGTCGGTTTTAACACTGTTAATGCCTTACGGTAAGTGAAAAATCACGTTTGGAAGTGTTTCAAATTAAAGGGCATTGATCGATTAGTTAACTTTCTTGCGTATTTTTTCATTAACTGTGAATGTTCTTTTTTATGCTTTTTAAAGCATGTATGTACCGCGATTGGAAATATTTTGAATAAATCTGTAAGTTAAATGTTAAGTAGTAATTAAAAGCTAGTTTCGTACTCCTCCAGGATCATGGGATCACTGGAAGTATTTGCAAATTTTCAAAACTTTTTTATTTGTCAGTACGCTTTGTTTTAATCTGTCTCTTCGTCCATTACATAATAAACTAAGACTGCCCCATTCCGTTGTTTCAAGATTAAAAATTGACCATATACAACCAATGTGATAGATTAAAACGAGCTTAGTTGACCTCTGAGCTTTCATACAGATGGAGTCAATAGGTCTTGAATATATTTACCATACAGCATATTCATTTCAATGGTCACCTATCTTTCTGCTTTGTCGTTTATCTTCAACCCTTGTTTCCCTATAGCCATGATGGACAACTGCCCTTCAGATTGGCAACTAGTTCAAGACTCGTGCTTCAAACTATTCGAACAAGAAAAGGAATGGTCGACAGCAAGGTGAGTAATAAGGTTTGAACGTTTACGAAAGATATAAATAGGACGGTATATAATTTAAATTTAACTTTAACTTAAATTAAACTGATCTGCATTTCTTTATATGGATATGATCGTTCGGTATCATATACGTCAGTGGTTGAATGGGGGGGGGGGGGGTCTTCAGCTAGGTTCAGAAAAAAAAAAAAAACACATCAATATTCCCCTCTTCAGATTGGAATTTTGACTAGCCAAGGGGGCTAGGGTCGGTTTTGCATCCGAGGCGTGTCATTTCCAAATATTACGCCTCACCCCCTCCGCTTCAAATGATCTTGGATTCGCCCCTGTACATATTGCTTAAACCGTTTAAAAGGCAAAACAGATTCTAATATGTAAGAAAATTAACTATTCTTCAATCATATTTTTAGATCTATCAGTATCAGTGACGCTATAAATGAAATATTATCATTTTAATATATCAATACAGTTCTGACTGTGGCTATTACGGCGGATATCTGGCGACTGTTGACAGTGATATACAGCAGCAATATCTGTACGACGTGGCCAAATTCCAAGATAAACCGATCTGGTTGGGTTATTCCTCTTGGAACAATGGGGTAATTTTATATGAATATTATCCAAACTGCTTTATATAAACCTAATTAGTAAACGGAAGCTTACTGCCAAACATGTCTAATTTCATATCTCCAATTCCACTCATATTACATTAGTAATTTTCATATGTGCTTGCAAATATGCAGTTTGCTAACTTTCGCAATCCAGTGCCGTCTCTAGTTTGTCGTACCGATAGGAGTTACCTGTAAAAATCATTTTAATAGAATAAGACGATATGGAAGAAACTTTCAATGGAACTCCCGGTATCCAGTGGGAACCAGTCCTCAGTGCCAGAGTATTGGAGCGAAGGAAAACGACCGAAGTTGTTGCCGTAAGTATGATATTTGTGATTGAAAAAGCTGAATTAAATTCGCATTTATTAACAGACAGACAAAGAATACAATAGCATGTATCGACACAAGGGGATTTTTATAGTAGGCCTATATGTAGGTCTTTCAGTTTTGTATAGATATGTTTTGTATAGATATGCGCGTACACATTTAAAATCAATCACAATGGTGAAATGGCATGACACTGAATAGTGTATGAAGCAGAACAACGATATACATTTGCTGACTGCTCTGACATCAAAAAGTCATATGTTTAATAGAAAAGTTTAATACGCTCTAGTAATTATTAATGTAACATGCATCGGTAGTATCATTGGTAGTGTCGTTGTTATAATTATAAAAAGTTAAAATATATCATCATTTCAGTGACCAAGCCAACGATTCGTGTGTCGTGGTAGACCCCACCTATGGTTCTGCGAGGGCATCGTGGGCTGCCACCAGTTGTAGTACTGAGAGGGCATATATGTGTAAGAAAACTGAAGGTAAGGAAATGACGTTTAGTGCTATTTTTTAATATTTATGCCCATATACAAAAAAGGTGTGGCGTACCTCACACGGATTTATCAAAAATTCATACAGGGATAAAATTGGACTCATGGATACGACAAGCGATCCTCAGTGCACACCTCTATTAGTCACTTTTAAACCTCTGTCTTAAGGCGTTGGATATATACGGACACTGTTGCAGAATCGGGTGCGTTAATTACGACTCTGTAAATGTACTTTAACAGCACCGCGTCAATAAATCTTAAAATCAGATTGGTTATGGCAACACAGTAGTACAGGGGTACATCACCCGAGTAATGTTCACATTTCTATACAAAATGATCGTATTTTAGGTGATTGTGCAACCGGCTGGCGTTCTCACAATGGTACATGTTACCAGTTTAACATCAACATCAAGCTGTCCTGGTATAATGCCTCAACCTACTGCAAGTCCCAAGGTGCAGACATGGTGGCGGTGAACAGGTAGGGAATAAGCTAGTGTTTTATAATATAATATAATATAATATAATATAATATAATATAATGCGGATAGCGGCACTGCAGTCTCCTGCTGGTCTTATGTACTGATTGTGCCTTTCTATTCAGATGTAGATTTGAAGTATCCTCTATGAAAAATGTTTAATCGTATTTGTGATTCTCTTTCAGTAATGATGTCCAGCTATTCCTAAGGTCACGGCTGAAAGAGCTAGGCCTGGATGAAAATGAGAGGTTATGGCTAGGAGGCTCGGGTTAGTTTATTTGATTGCATTCACATTAAAATTCAAAATATTTGTGAAAGGAGAAAAAATAATATTTGTTTTTAAAACATCGCCAACACAATAACAGTTTTCTGAAATCAAAAACAGTTCATACCTATGTATAATACTTCATCATATCGATACCTTATATTACAAATGCCGATAATGTCAATAACAATGTTATTATAAATGATACAAACTATAATAACTATAATGATTATAATTATAGTATTTTTTGTTAATAACAAAAATGAACAAAAATGAATCTCCGCGCATAACTTCACCAATTGTCACCTGAAGAGTACTGCCACATAATAACGCTATAAATAATGCTGATAATTTGTACAGTCAGCAACATTTATCACATTGGCCTAGTTACCATCGCATTCCAGACGTGGACGACACGCCCAAGATACTGAAATGGCCCAGTGGTGGGGCAGTCGATAACAACGCCACCTATTGGTCATCATCCAAACCAAGGAACAGTAGTCAACCGCTGTGCCTAGAAATGTTGTCTGGTTGGTAATGCAGTTATTAAGGTGTTGTCAATGGGGGGTCAACACTTCAATATATTTTCGTTTTTAAAACCGATTTAGTGCATATTTTATCATAATATTTGTCGTTTAACTGAGTTTCGAGTACAGTTGTATCATATCTGGGGTAGAATGTTATAACAAAGCTGCTTATTTAAGCCCATTCTTTTGGTGCATTTACATATGTCCACACCAAATAACGCGTTTATAGACTATACATATGGTATATTTCACATATTTGTTTGTTTTACCGTAGGTGGAGAATGGAGCACAAGTGATCAATGTTTGAAAGAACAGTCTTTCATTTGTCAGATTAATGACGGTAAAGTAGTTTATCCGCCAACGGTGAAACCAGGTATTTAATCGGGCTTTATGGAGTACACACCCGTTTGACTTTCATTATGCCTTGATGATGAAAACTGATATTACTATCTCTTTAAGCAGAAAAAGTTTTAACTTAAAAGTTTTTACTTAAAAGATATATTGTGATGCCATGAAATTCAAATGATAACTTGAAATTCCTCGTTCATTTCACTTAATTCAAGGCATTTTTTGTTTTGGGTACTGATATAACTATAACACTTCTCTCTTTCGTATCAGCTAAAGGTAGCTGTGACCCAGGCTGGGAGGCATATGGTTTCTTCTGCTATTATTTTGACAACAGCGCCTCGGTCACCTGGCTTGAGGCACAGAACATATGCCAAGATTTAGGGGCAGAGATGGTACAGATTATGAACGTCAGAGAGATGTCCTTTATCAATGGTGATTATCATAAACTACCAGAGTTCCGTTGTATTGACGTTTTTTGCATATTCGAGTATCTGCCTTTCATTTCTTATTATTTTTAATATTACTTTAAAAGACACGATTTCTTGCTTTGTCTTGAATACACGACATTTTAGTTTGACAGAAGACGAACAAGTCGGCCAAACAAAATTGTTTGCATTTCAATATACAAATGTCTAGTCAACATAAAAATATAGCATGTGCATTATTGTTCCTAGATCATTTAACTGTCAGTACATGGCTTGGATTGAGTGACAGGAGCGCAGAGAGTGAATGGGAGTCGACAAACCAGAAACTGGTATGTCTATGTGAAACAATCGTGCAATGTCTCCGTTATATCTTGTAAATGTTGCTCAAAATATAAGCATAAAGTATATCTACACATGCATTGGTAGTTAAAAGCTGCATAAGCGAAAGTTTTTCCTATTGGTGTTCTATAGCAATCATAAATTGGTGTTAATATTATTAAAACATTAAGGTTGCATTGTAGATTATATATAATATAATAATATATTTCAAATGACACGAAGTTCTCGTATTACTATTTCGCTGGTATTCACCATTCACCACTATTTCTTTCTTCTTTTCAGTAAAGCAAGAAATATGTAAAAGTACGATATGTTTGTCCTCTTAAAACTGGAGTTTTAAATTGTATACCTGCACATTGCAGGCAAAGTACAGCAATTGGATCCCAACAACACCTGCTTCCGGTGGCGGTGGCGCCGCCCAGGGATACAAGTGTGCTATTGTGTTAGCAGGGAAAAACAAAGGCTTCTGGGACGAAGTACCATGTAACCAAAATAATGCTTACATGTGTCAAAAACTAATAGGTAATTCGCGTAGATTTGTGCCCAAAGCTTACAAAGTGAAAAGTAGAATTTGATAAATATGAATAAATCCCGTGCTTCAGTGCAGTGACACGTTTAAGAATAGATTATTTGCATCAAAAATTCAATTTTTTGCTTCAGGGCCGATGACAAAGTTTGTTTCTACCACGAAGGAGAGTAAGATAATTTTCTTTATTATTCTTTTTATTCAGTAAAATGAGAACTTGCATGTTTAAGGTTTAAATGAAAAGACGTTGTTTTAACGATTTCAGGGACCCTCATCTGTTGCTTTTTAAAATACATATCTTATGACAGATAAAATTTATTCATAACTATTTAATTAACATGTGTCTTGCAGTGAAGCATTTTTTATTGGTTCCAGGTGGTAACTCGAATAAATGTGGACAGTCCTGGCAAGATGACCCATTAAGTGAGTTTTGTTACCAGATTAACACAAACAGCTTGTCTTGGTCCGAGGCACAATTACAGTGTAAACACAATGGAGGGGAAATGGCCAGTATCACCAGTCTCCAAGAACAGCAGCATATTGCTGGTAGGGTGTTTCTTTTAATTTCTAACACTTCACACAACAGGGTTCAATTAAATCTGTTAACACATAAACAATAACTAAAAAATCGTGTTTATTTTCATATTTGATTAACTGGTTGGCAAGTGCTTTATTTAACTTATTTCAACATTTTTTTCTGAAAAAGAGATGTTATTTGTTATTTTCTAGCCAGAATTCGGGCCATTCCAGACACGAAATATTTCTGGATTGGAGGCAATGCTCTTTGGCGTGACTACGGATGGGTTTGGAATGATGGGGCTTCGATGGCCTTTTTGAATTGGGAAGCAGGTAAACGGAATGAATTTAGTGTCTGTAAATCATTTAGATAAAAGTTGCTTTGGATATCACTTTTATATTAAAACGTTTTAATTACTTATCTGTCAGTTTTTCTCGTCTATGTTAAAGGTCGACCACATTATGCTAAAAACGCAGACTGTATGGAAATGGATGCACTGAGCGGTGTGTGGAGGGACGAAAATTGTCACAACAGGAGAGGGTACATCTGCAAGAAAAGAGGTATGAAGCAGAGATAAGGAGAAACAAGCACTTTATATCCTGTAAGAACATCCAGTTTTCCTCACACCTAATGTTCATTTTATTTCAAGACATTTATTTCGCCACATATACATATATTCCTTCTAATTTTCACTATATTCAAAGGATCTACGCAAAATACAACACCATCAACGGCGCTGTCATCAACAACCGAAAAACCAGGGTATCCGCATTGTGACAAAAGCTGGTCGCTGTATGGCCAGGGTTGCTACCGAGTGTCTGAAGACCCTGGACAATGGACAGCGGCCAAGAGCACCTGCAGACGAGAAGGTGGTGACATAGTTTCTATACTTAGCGCCAATGAAAATGACTTTGTTACCAGTTTGGCGGCAGAAAAAGGAGGTGGGTACCATAAACACTGTGTAGTTAATTCCTTGGCTTCAAACCACCAAAACTACATATACGTAATGGCTATGATACAATGTGCCACTTGTACCTTTTGTTCCACCCAAGAATGCTTTCATTGATTTTTATTGTGTCAAGTAAATTGTGCACATATAGAATATATGTTTTATATGTTTTTCAGAAAACCCAGCAGGTTATTGGACAGGGTTAAACGCCCTGAGGATATCAAATCAGTTTGAGTGGGCAGATGACACATCAGTCTCGTTTACAAACTGGGGTGCTCGTGAACCCAACGTACACTTGGGCGACCAGCTATGCGTTAGTTTACATGCCTCGGAAACTGAAGTGAGGAATAGGCTAATCAGCTACGCCCAAAACAGTTATATTTAGATGACTGTCAACAGCTTTGCATCGTTATAATCGTAAACGTGAAATAAATCTGCAACAAGCGTAATGCAAGGAAACTATGTTTTAGATTTGGTCTCTTTCAAATAGATAACTGAGAAAAGTCAAACTTTAATTTTTTACATTTATTGTTCTAAGTCGTTTATTCAATTATTAATACAGGCCGGTAAATGGAGTTCCACCGACTGCTTCCTGTCATTGCCGTATATCTGTAAACGGCCTGCAGCCAGAGTGACGTCACCACCTTCTGTGATGTACAAAGGATGTAATAAGGTATATAGAGTGTATGCTTTTACTTTATAATATCGGTTTCGGTAGATAAATTGAGGGAGATTCAAAACATCAAATAAAAAACATTTTTCTAAATTTACCAAAGTAATGGTTTATACATTTTTATATGTACTAAGGGCGTCACTGCTGCATACAAAGGATCCTGCTTTACCGTCTCAAGTAGTAGAGTCACGTGGTCAGATGCTGACGTCATGTGCAGAAACTCTGGAGGACATCTGGTTGAAATTAACAATCGGTAAGTCAATTATTCTTTATTTTATGAGCACAAACATTCACATGTCATTTCAGGTGATACCGTTATATTTTTTCTATCATTCACAAAAAAATGTCAAAAGAAAAACGGTGTAATTAATATTATATGCGATAGGAAATCTTCATCCAAAATTGACTTCACTAAAAAAAGCCTTTTAAACGTGCGTGTTAATTTACATACATATTTTAAAGTCTAGAACAAGCTTACATAGCAGCCAATGTTGGAGAACATTGGTTGGGTATTGACTATTGGATTGGACTGAGCAAGGATGAGAATGGTACCTATATTTGGAGCACGGGGTACAAACTGGAGTTTACTAATTGGGACAGAAGGCATACTGGTAAGACAGTCCGCTTATTGGATTGTAAAGTACAAAAATGACATAATATAAAATTTAGTGTTTTGAAGAGCACACGTCTTCTCTGTTTTACACAACGGGCCATTCTGTGTTTCAACATATTGCTTTAACCCACAAACAGCGCTCATAAAAGAAAAAAGGGCAGAAAAAATCGACGAATAAATACATAGATAATAATTAAACAACATTTTTTCGTTCAAGCGCGTTTTCTCTGTGTGATCGAAGTTGTCGTGATTTCCAGGTAACGAGGCAACCAAATGCGTGGCCCTTACCGGTGCTTTACCATCGACTGGAACCTGGTCTACCAGAGCCTGTTCCTTGGAAACTCATTATATCTGTGAATTCCCCAGGGATGGCTTCTCAACACCCTCCACTGTCAGCACTACCCCCAGGCCCGCCTCCTGCCCCACGGGGTATAAGTGGTCGGAGTTTAGTAATATGTGCTACCTAGTACGTTCATCATTACATGGTTGAAAATTTCGTACTTTAAGAGATGATGGTCAAGGATAATAAAGTACAGTATAGGTCAACTCATATATTTTGAATGAAATGATACGTTGTAAATTGTCTTGTACAATATTATATCCACAGATTTGATGGGCTTAATGCAGATAATTAAAGCTCATTTGTCAAGCCAAATAAAGTTAGCGGTGATAATACCTAAATAATCTACAATTCCAGAGGGAGCAGCTTTACGGCAATCAGCGTCTTACATGGTTCGAAGCACAAGATTTATGTACAAACATTGGCGGTAAACTGGCCACGATCCACAGTGAGGAACAAATGAAAGCGGTGATGGGACCACACACGCGCTTGTAGGCGCATAACTTTTCACTTTCACTTTCGATATGGGCAGCAATTTTAAAAAGCTACATCACGATCTATATATACATAATTAGTGCAATTACGTATTGGCTTTGGTATAAGCTTTTATCATTTCTGCTAATTTCTTTTTCATGGCCAAAATTGTCAAATTATATGATATTGGTAAATTGTTGTAATTACGCTATCCATAGCACCACGCACCATTTATAGGGTCCGCACTTGGATGGTTACACATGTATCTCTATTAACAGTTTGGCAAAATACTGGATCGGCTTGTACAAACCTGACAATAATGGCGGCTACGTGTGGATAGACCAGTCTGCCCTGGACTTCACCAACTGGGAGGACGGAGAACCAAATGACCACAATGGACTGGAGGGATGTGTACAACTGAACCGAAGATCGACTAAATGGAGCGATGTGAATTGTTACGCCAAGAGGGATTATATATGTCAGTTCCAAAAAGGTACAACATAGAAATAATCTCATTCGTAATATATTTTGTCAATTTTGTTAGTTGAAATGTAAGTTAGGACGTTAGAGTGTTATTATGTAGCAAACATTACGGACTTGACTGAACTTCTATAACGCGGCATTGTCGCTTTATCATTGTAGAAGACTGAAAATAATATGTTGATATAGTTATGCCTATTTATGCTTTATTCATTTACGTAATTCAGGAGACCCCATTTTGACAACAGCACGTACGGTGAAGCCGACACCCGGTAAATGAGATAATAACATTTTTTCTAAATTTTGATGTAGAAAAAAAAACATGGAAATGCAGCGTGTAGTTTACAACAAATAGTTTTGGGTAAAATTTCAAAAACAATTGTAACTGAGTGTAAAGTTACCGTTTTATGATATATGTTCTGTTTCAAGTCTTTCATTTTATTTCATTTTATTCTGAAGTCAGTCCAATTTTTCAGCGCCAACTTGCAAAAACCACCCTAAATGGTTAGCATACAAGAATTACTGCTATTTCATCAGTCCTACATATGGTCCTGGCTCCAAGTACTCGTGGCATGACGCAGCAAAATATTGCATGCAAAATGGCGGAAATCTCGCCAGTATTCACGACGGTGATGAAAACAGATTTGTTTTGCTTGAGGTAGAAACAGTTAGAGAAACATATAAACAAAATTGATTTGATTGCTAGCATATTCCGTATCCATAAGATATCATTGTAAAATAAATTTTCAACATGATCATTTTATGCTACTGGTTTATTTGCATGAGATTGTATCTACTCTTAATTTTAAAATTAATCATGAAAGGGTTTTGACATCGATATTGCGTTCATATTATGTTTTTCATCCCTTTATATTGTAGACAACTAGGTTACGTCATCACGAGAATCCCTGGTTCTGGATTGGGCTGAATGAGCTAGATTTAGAAAGTTACAAGTACGTTATTATCACATCTTTGTGGGTAATACTCTTACAGCTACCGCCAAATTGTATTTCACAAAGCGACAAACTGTGGATATGAACCCTATTTTGTATTATACGGCAAAAGCGTTATGAAACTCAACAATAAATCCAAAAAAGGTTCCTGTTCAAGTTCGGCAATATATACAGTTGAAATACTGCTTCACTTTTATTACTCTTATTCAAATGTGTATACTTATTAGTCATATATAAATACACATTTAGCAGTTCATTTTGACGATTTGGAGTGGTACATATCGAGTTGCTAAGTTCATTTCCAGTAAATTATTCTCTTCATCTTTAAAATAATATTTATATATTGCATAATACACTACCATACATTATTTCTATGAAAGGAACATGTATACAATATAAAATAATGATTAAAGCGAGTTTCTGTTGTTTTCTCAGATGGTCTGATGGGACAACCGTCGACTTCCTGTCCTGGGAGGAGAACGAACCAGACGACAACTATGGCGGACAGAAATGTGTCGGATTTATAACAGAAACAGGTCTATATAAGACAAAATATTCTCTTTGGGGATGCTTTATACTATTTACACCATAGTTCTTCAGTTCTACCTTTAACTCCACATTTATTTAATTATAGTATCCATTACAACACCGACTTTACCTTTAATTCATATTCGGTTATCATGAGTTCTTTGCAAAACAGGCATAGGCATTTGATTAATTTTTCGCGTGCAACATCGAGTATTCCAGAATATATTCAATTAAAAGCTTGGGCGGCTTTGACATTATTATCATTATAGGTCATTGGCATGATGAGAATTGTGGCATAGAGAACAGGTTCATCTGTAAGAAACACAAGGACAGCCAAACGACCGTGACACCGTCTCCTACACCAGTTATACAGGGGAACTGCCCCCCAGGGTACCACGGGATTGGTGAGAGAGTCTTATTTCTGTGACACCTTCATATCATATTTAAATAAAATATAGATGAATCCAATCAAAAAATATATCTTTGATATCTTAGAACTATGTTAAACAAATTGACAATTGATGTGTTTATGAATTAGCCTTAAACGTGTAATGAAAATGTGAAGCATGTCAATAGGCCATACAGTACGTAGCAGTCGTGGACATTTTGAAGACAGATCAAAGTACGACACTATTTAGAGTGTAAACAAGATGTATTTGGAGTACGCGTGATTCACAAAGTACATAGCGTGTTATTGGGACTAAAGTCAGGATTAACATTTTAAGAAGTGTGAAGCATGCCTCATTTTATTCGTTTTGTTAATATCGTTCTCTTAAGGGAGGTAACTGCATTTTACTTTTTTCTATTTTGTTGCTTCTGAAAATTATTCTGAAATATACGATCAGGTAACAAATGCTACATTCTGTACGGCGACGCCACTGACAACACACAGCTGTTAAACTGGACAGAGGCGCTGGACACATGCGCGTCACTAAACAGCACAATAGCCAGTATTACTAACCCATTGGAACAAGGTATGGTGCAATGCATTTCAACAATTAAAACTGCTCAGTGCCTTTATGTTGTTTGTTTTTGTATTTGATGTGCTAAACGACACGTGCACCAAGTGTCTATAAATATATTCACATATATAGGATCAAAGTACCTGCGAACGTTTTTTTATACCACTTATGGCTTTTGGATTGCCGCTAAAATATTTGCCATGAGCAGTTTACATGTACGTATTTTAGTAACAGTAAAAGTGAATACCATAATGTATGTACGTCAACTTTTTACATTTCGAAAAATGGACACAAAACCCACACAGATTATATTGCTTCCATTACAGCGTTAATAACAACTCTTCTCAAAGGAAAATCTGTGGATTTTTGGATTGGCTTCCATAAACGGTTCATAACTGGACAAAATGTCCAGAAAATTGAGTGGGTGGATAATTCAAAGGTGGACTTCGATTACTGGAGCCGGGGTGAACCGAATGGCGGAACATATGGAGTTGCCATGGTAACTCGAGTGGCAGAACAGTCGATACGCCAATAAACGTATCAACTGAGATATTTTCTGATTAGCTTGTTTCTACATTTTGAAAACATATGCTGAGACAAGTTTACGTCAAGTAAAGATCATCAGAGGTTACTGTTTGTTTGTCCAGACAATGTTATGATTGGATGTACAAATTAGATTAATCTCTCCAAATCGTCAAAATGAACAATTCAAAATGTGTATGTATATGACTATAAGCACTTTAATAAGTATAAACAGTCACTTCCGACTGAGTGTAAGCATTAATTATCTTTCAGGAAGATTGCGTCAACGTAATTTCTCGTGGCTTCTCGGCCGGACGTTGGCAGGACCGCAGGTGTGATATTAAGATGGGGTTTGTGTGCCAAACGTGGAAAGGTGAGAGCATTAGTTCAAATGTGCATATTAAAAATGGCTATAACATAACGCTGATGTCTAGATGTGGCACATATAACGCATGGTGTCAATCCGAAATTGTTACAAATCACCAGCCAGGTTAGTCTTGACAGCAGTACGTCATGCAAAAAAGTCTGAATTAATATACCCAGGCAGATTTAAGACATTTAAAGCACGTCCTAAGCAAGTGTGACTTATGATTTCGATTCTGTATGCTCAATTTGTGTTGGTTTACATTCAAATGTGTGATATCGGCTGACAACCAACACGAGTTCGGAAGCGGCCAGGAAGACATGATACTTGATGGTTTTGACGGATTTCCATAATCATGACTAAAATTATTACTGATCTTCATTTCATTCTACTGGTTTCAGATGCCAGATACCCGACTCCTCCGCCTTCCCAGTCCCCGTCACCCTGTCCCCTTGGTTACGAGTCGTTTGGTGACGCCTGTTACCAGGTAACGGCCGCCATGACGTGGGAGGAGGCCAACGCCACGTGTCGACGTCAACAGGACCACCTCGTGTCTGTAACTGAACCGTATGAACAGGCTTTTGTCTTGCTGAAAAGACAGAGGCATACGTCTGGGCCAATTTGGTTAGGGCTGACGAGGAGAGGGGTGAGGAAGATTTGTGTGAAAATGATTACTTTAATAATTTCAGTGAAGGCTATATTATGAGAACGCAAAGAAATATGACCAATTAAAATACTGTCACTTTTCTCCTTGAATATGACATGAACTTAACAATCACCTGCAAGGACTATTACTGTGCAACACTGGGCAACCAGTGTGGAGTGAAGGAAACAAAAAACGACGAATAATTTTGTAAAATTTCATTGATGTCATATGATAATAAGCAACATTTTTGGTGTTTTAAATCCATCGATCAATCAAGGAGACAGTTTTAAGTAACGTTCTGTAATTATGCGAGTTTGGTTAACATAAACATTATTGAAGTATAACTCAAATGTGACAAAACGTTGATAACGGATATCTGTATATCGTTATTATACGTATATGTATTTTTACTTGATACGTTTCATTAATAAAAGAAGAAAGGAACTGACCAAATATGTTACAAAAATTAACTATTCATCTAAAATAACTTTGAATCTTCCTCTGGCAGTCATTATACTACTGGGTGGACGGCTGGCCTGTATCATATGTCCACTGGGGGTCCACGGAGCCGTCACGTGGGGAGACAGACAGGTGCGTGGCTCTGATGCCAGACGGAAACTGGAACGACACGGATTGTGGTTTGAAACTGCAGGGAATATGTAAAAGGACTTCAGGTTTGTGTGTACTGGACGTGTTAGGTGTGACGCTTCTAAATGTGTTATGACGCGGCATTGCTTTTGAATTCCTACGTTCTAAAATTACCGGAAATGTGCAATTAAATGTTATTAGATTTTTCACCAAATCGCACGTAGAAAAAGATCGATTTGATATTTCAAAGTAGAGTGACAAACTGACGAAATGAAATTTACAAACCAGTATGTTACATGCAATATATAGCTTCTCACATCTGCTTTACCTTTGACAGTCAAAAGGCACATTAAGAGGGCATTGGGACATGTATCCCACTACTTTAGCTTCCCCTTATTTACTTTCCGTTCAGACATATACCTAGATTTGGTTCTAAGAATTTTGCAAACTATAAGAAATCATCATTGCAGTCATTCCGCCCACGACAGCTGTCAACCCCCCTGGTAGATGCCCTGATGATAAGCATTGGTTCGACCACGGCTATTACTGTTACATGTTCTCCAACAGAACTAGTTACTCGTATGGCTGGGCACATTCGAGTTTCCTGTGCCAAAAGCATGGGGGAGCGCTGGCGAGCATCACTAATCAGGACGAAATGGATTTCATTTTACGAACAATACAGCAGGAACGTTATGAAAAGCGAAACCTGTGGATAGGACTTGTGAGAAAAATAAAAGGTGTGTTGAGACTGGATCGTAAAACTTTTTTATACTGAGTTATATGGCATTCATTTGTTGCTGTAGGTATAAAACAGTTAGGATAAAAGTGCAGATACTTTCATTAAAGGTAGTTTTTAAACAACAGAACTGTCTCTTGAAATTAAAACCGGATTTAGTCTTCACTGTTCTCATGCCTACATGTAAGCAACTTTTTCATTGGTCTCATTTGACCCCTGACCTTAGGTGCCTTCGCCTGGTTCGACCACACCCCGTTTAACTACGAGAACTGGGCTGTGGGAGAACCCGACAACGGCAATTATAAAGAGTGCACCTCGGTCCATCCAGCCAACGGGAAGTGGGAGGTGACCAACTGTTACGCCGCCAGGGGGTTCATATGCAAGGTTGCTAAAGGTAAGGGGGTATTTGGTTTTTAAAATTGGTTATTCAGTTTATACCGTAGGTTTACTTTATAAAAAGAATGTTTATTGATTAAGAAAATCACAATATTATCATGGGGATACAAGAGATGGCAGTCTAAAAATTATTGATTTTTTTCAATCAGTGGTAATTACGATAGTTAATTACCCCTAGCGGTGAAAGACAAATATTGTTTTGATGCTTTTCAACGAAATGCTGTCATCTAATTGGAACACACACACACACACACACACACACACAGATTTAAAAACAGAACAAAAGGTGTATAATTATTTTATCCGTTCCATCCAGTCCCTCCGCCAACAACCCCCAGACCATCTTGTAGACCCGGCTGGCACACCAAGGACGGCATGTGTTATAAGGTAAGGACAATTTACTCCACGAATACCATGTGATTCCGTTTCTAAAGCAAATACTTGAAAATGCTCCTTGTCGGTTAAGCGATTCATATTTTAAATAGTTTATACGAAGTTTTTTTTTAGGTTAACGCCTCTTTATCATATTCGTCTTTCATTATTGTTTCGTCATGATAACATTAAAACAAAAACCCAAGAAGGAACCGTGTTTTTCTTCACGAATCTTAAAAAAAAAGAAAATAATGCCAATTATTGATTTCTGCGTACACAGGGATATTACAAGTCTCTCACACATAAGAAGACCTGGTCAGAGGCACGCAGTTTCTGTTTGTCAAGAGGCGGGGACTTAGCCAGCTTCCACAGTGCAGAAGATGTAAGATGGTTCACGGGTACCATAGGGTTCCACAGCAGGTGTGCTTTAAAGAAGTCAAAATTAGAATGACACAAGTTTATATCGCGTTTGCATGCATTTATAATACTGTACTTTTTTTTCAAAAAGGGGTATATCTGCTCAGTATTCTGTAAGAGTATGCTATTTAGAAAGAGTATAAAGTGCATGTATATGCATGTTTGTTTTGTATATGGGCGCAATAGGACAGTGAAGTATGACGTCTTTGAAATCTCTTCCATGTGCTGATTACACTATTCTAGGTACGAATTGTATAGGACGCCAGCGTGGATTGGGCTCTTCTTGGCAAATGGCACCATGGGTAGGTGTGTCTCTTAGCCTAAGAAATGTCAGTCATCTGGTTTACTCGTTGTAACTGTATTGTGATTTACTTAACAAAACACAAATATCGAAGCACTTTGCCTTGGCCTTTGTTTGAGTTTCTGACACATATTTCTGTCCAAGTATTTATATCTTTATAAGCAAATTCTTATCTAATATAAGGCGGAAATGCAAGGGCCGTTGCGTTGTTTGAAATATCTCACCATACAAGCAGTAAAAAGGAAACGTCAAACAGAGCTTATCATTTTGGGCGTCATTAATGCCCACGTGTTCATTGCATATGCACAGGATTGGCCAGTCAGTACACGTGGTCTGATGGCACGTCATTCAACTACAGCCACTGGGAGGTGGGTCAGCCAGACAACCACAACGGGAGGGAGAACTGTGTTGCTATGTACCCCCACACGGGGAAATGGCGGGACGATAATTGTGTCGGCGCCAGGAGCTGGATATGTATGGCACCAATAGCCGCCACTACACTGCCGAGTGTCACGACGCCATCTGCCACTGGTATTTTGAAAATATACTGCATGTTACATTGTTAAAATCAGTTAATTTAACTATTATTACCTAACAGTAAATCATTGTTTCAATCCTCATCATCCACGTTATTATTTTTATCAGTAGTATTATTATAGTATAAATGCATGCACTGATATTTTTGTTTATCGAAGTGATCGCTATTTTTATTTTTCTCGATCGAATAGTATTTTACTTCAGGATACAAAATTGCGGTAGCCTGTTCAACAATTTTTCATCATAGATCATACATTTAAATAAAAATTGCCAATACCCTTGCAAACTGTTTTAGGTTGGTCTTTATTACTGATATAAAACACACCTATCAACTTAATAAAAAATTAATCATTGTATTTTCAGAAAACACTGAATGCGGCGTGAAGTGGAAGTCCCACGGCGAGTACTGCTACTTTCTAAGTGACCGGCCCAGGCCAGGGGAAGGGGGACCTATGTCGTGGTATAGGGCCAGACAACATTGTGTCCACATGGGTGGAGACCTCCTCAGTTTCAACACTCGAGAGGAGGCTGATTTTATTACGACACACATCAGCCAAACTAACCACCTTAAAATGTGGATAGGAGCAAATGATCTCGACCTACAGGGGTACAGGTATTGGTAAAACCTATCACTGAATTTGTTGTTTTTAAACGAGCGCAACTCTGATTATATTGCTGTATTAATTAATGCCCATGTGAGTGCGGTGAGTTGTCAGGAATCATGACAATGTACATACTTTCTTTTGTGGTGCGTAAAAACACTATCTCCGTGGTTTGTAGAAGAATATATTTGCATTATATTTACAGATGGTCAGACGGCACCCCAATGTTGTATACCAACTGGGCGAAAGGGCAGCCGAGTTCTCAATATGGCGAGCAGAGGTGCTTGAGTGTCAATACAGGGAAAGAAAACACACAACCTGGTAAGGTGAACTGCAGTTAAGACACCTTGCAATTCGCCTTAGGATAAGAATAAGAGATGAAAAAGAGTCTTATCACGTCTGTAAAAAAGTATTTGTTCTTTATCTATAATTCACATGAACACGAGATTTTAGGAAACATTACAGTTGAAATAATAAGATTATCGTTTCTGGTTTCTCAAAACACAGGGTTTCTTGCTCTCCAAACGAGATATAGATTTTCCTTCAAGGTACTCTAAACGACGACCCATGTACCGAGTTGTTGCCTTTCATTTGCAAGAAACCCAAAACTGGCGGCACACCGGGCACAATCACCACCACGCCCACCATCAGGGGTTTTTCTCCCCGGGGGTTCGGCGGAATAGGTGAGAATGGCATCGTGGTTAAAAAACATACTGTATGTATATCAACATTCACTAAATTGGTACAGTTTATATTCCCCTTGTGTTCCAACAAATATAATTGAGAGAGTCAATCAAGATTGCACACTGCTATTGGTTACTTTTATAATGGAAGAAATTAAAGAAATGTTTACTTACCATTCCACGAGTTTATTTAAACATTTATTTTGTCACTGAAAAAGATATTTTCTCTCTGTGTCACAGGTAACCGATGCTTTGCGTTATTCGGAGATGGCGAGAGGGACCGTAAGAATTGGACAGATGCTGCTGCTGCGTGTGCCGCTCTGGGGCCTGACTATTCCTTGGCCAGTATTACAAACTCTCTAGAACAGGGTAAATTACAAGTGGAGATGCTCTCCCAAATTTCCTTTTTTACCGAGAAATAAAAAGCACGTGATTTTGACGAAAAATAATAATAAAACTTGCACAGAAAAATCGGCTTAAGTAACGGTTACTTGGGTGGTAAAATTAGATTTTTACGGAAGAACCATATTACCTTACATTACCTGTACACAGGTATGAAAAGGACAATTATATATGTATCACAACTGAGTTTTTTATAATTGAATTCCCCGAAAGCCATGTAAATCTTTGAGTACTTCGTATGCTAGTCATAATCCGCCTGACCAATAGTATTTCTTATTGTTTATCGCTTTAGCGTACATTACCAGTCGACTCCAATACAAAGAAACAACCTTTTGGATTGGTTTAAGCGACTTTGACAACGAAGATTTCTTCCACTGGGTAACCAATGAGGAAGTGGCTTACGAAAATTGGGATCGGTTTGAACCAGCGGCCTATCAGAATGTGAGTAATACATGTACGGCTAGCTTCGTGCGCTTCACATTGTACTGTACAAATCTTTTTAGCAAAAGATGACATTTTCCCACATCTTTTGAAAAGAGGTGGAAATAACTTTCTGTATTGTAGGGAGAAATTAAATTCTTAAGACAAATTACTTGATAATTATAAATTTGAACAAGCCAATAGCAGACCACTTTTGACATTGTTGGCTTGATGTCGCCCTTGATTTGACATAAAACGTAACGTGTACATAGCAATCTTAAATCACGAATAAAGGAGAAATATATGTATTTGTATATGGTTTATTGATTCAGTTTTGTTGGTAGGCCTATATGATAAGTCTTACAGTTTTTGGCCAATGATAAACTTAGGAGTGATTTATTTAAATGAGGTATCCTTATATAAGCTGACGCTATGAGTTATATAAGCTGACGCTATTCATTCAGCCAAGAGTAAAACTAGTAGGCCTAAACGTGTGCAGTGTATAATGACCATTGTGATTTCTATTTTCAGGGTGGTAGTTTTTTGAAATTGTTTATTTCTCATTTACTGTTGGAAATGTGTACAAAATTTCTGTTAAAATATATTATTGTATTGGTGTGGAAATTACAATAAAAGCCACAGGGTGTTTTAAATGCCTACTTCAGTTTGGCTTCTGTGGCAGGTACTACAAGATTTAATTGTTGTTTTTTTATTTGAATCAAGAATGAAGAGTTTACAAATTATTTATGTTCGTTTGAAGAAATGAATAAGAACATAAATGCTTTATCATACCTTTGTCAAAGAGAAGCAAATTCTTGACACACGTTATTTGGTTTTTGATATACTGTGTATCTCTTATTTGAGATGGCAAAGATCTTCTCGGTACGAAGACACTTCGTGAATTTCTTTGCTGACGTCATACCAAGAAATGACGTTTCCTCCAAAATTATCGCCACAGTTTGCCACTGCTGCCACGTCAACATTGTCGGTGTTCCAAACGTTGATGCTCGTGACGTCACCAACATAGGCTTGTGTAGCGTCAAATCCGCCGCCTACCGTATCTTGATCTTGTCCAATAATCCAAACTCCATCTTGAAGAGATAACAACTCTTCATATGAGATTCATAATAAATACACAATAAATACGTAGGGATATCTCATAGAAATATTATAAATTATATTTTACTACCATAACGCAGGTTCTTGCAATTATTCTGAAATCTGTGCTTACCACCACATTCCCTCCATATATACATGTAGCTATACTCTTAAGAGAATATTACAATTAAATAAACTTTTTAGAAAAAGACAAAGGGCTAACTTTGAATGTCGGAACGAATTCAATTACCATTTGTAAGTAGGCCCTATGCGAAATTGTCGTTTACCATTTTGTTGCCAAAATGAACAGTTCATGTACCTTTAAAATAAGTTTTTGTTTGTTTGTTCAATTCTTATGGATACACGTGGAGCAGGGTGCCTATATGTACGCATCACAAAAAAAAAAAAAAAAAAAAAAAAAAAAAAAAAAAAAAAAAAAAAAAAAAAAACATTGGTGTGGAGTGTAAGAACAGTAGCAACTACGTGTACTTTTAGCTCCAACTCTACACATTTAAACTCAAATAACACTTCCTATGGCTGTCACTGATTTGTATAACCCAAAATTAAATAATTAATAAATGATAAGTATAGTCTTACTTATGTTGTAAGCTTTAAATTTTTAATTTCTACAGTAAATTGAGCTGTGTCTCACAAAGCTTTCGATCACTGAGGAAGGTTATGGCAAAGCTTTGTCAGTAAAGCTCTCGAGTAACAAGTAGTTAAGAATTTGAAAATAAATTAAGTTTATAGCATAACCAAACACTGCACAGATGAACGTCCATAAAAGTATTTTCTTACCTGCTGGTATGATGTTGCCTGTCTGGAAGCCAGTTCCCGCGGCTGCAGGCATGCCGTCTTTGTAAACCGTCCACTTCCCACCACGACTGTTCCAAGAGAAGCACCAGTGGTGCCAGGCCCCATCATAGATCATTCCAAACACGGGTGTTACTTTTTTTGAGTTTGATACTAAGGAGGAGATGACTCCACTTCTCGTGTAACCAAAGAGGAAAGAGTTGTCCGTTGAAGTCGCGGCGTAAGATAAGAGAAATGTCTCGTCATTTCCAATGAAGGCGGTCTTAGCCCTCAGGCACGCTGTCATGGCGGTCATCGCAGGAGTGGCTGCCTGCAGCTTCACGTAGCTCTTTGTGGTCTGTGGCGGTGGCCAGCGGAAAATTGTAGTTCTGTCTGGAAATAAAAACAGGACATTTTTCTTTAAATACATGTATACATTTTAATCTATCCCACTGTTTCCCAAACAAGCGCAGCTTTGGTCTTTCGAAGCTTTGGCTGCTCAATTATTTGTCTTTGTCTGGATTCTCATACCTAGATCGATCTAACAGGACCGATCCATCTCCAAGGGGTTTCTCGCTAAATTGCTTTCAGCTTAAGCGGCTTAGATGTCTGACACGCATACTGAAGCTGCTAAACGATAATTAATTACCCCAAGCAGCTTCAGTAGGCGTGACAGACATCTAAGCCGCTTTAAGTGCACAATTTACCGCTGATGGACAGTCCAGTGGTGAAAAGTAAAACAGACGCTGTTAAAAGGTGCATGGTTCCTGACTGATACTGCTCCTGACGAGTTTTGCTAAACAGACGAAAGACTGTTTCTTAACGCAACACGGATGTAATAGCTGACTACAGTAACTGGAGCTTACAGCAAATTTGAACTTTATGCAAGGCATACTACTTGAAGCCCAACACACGGCCACGTCTCGGCATCTGATGGTGATTAATAGCAATTAAAGTCTATTACATTGTAGTTAAAGATGATGCAATGATCATGCCCCAAACACATACTACCAAATCTTACAGACCACAAAAGCTGCAATTAATATTTGAAATTTTACTTGGTACAACTCTCACTCTGCGTGATGTGCTTGCTCAAGGAAACAATTTAGACTGCTGTTGAATCCTCCGTTTGCATGTCACGCTTCTCCTCTCTCCCTTTCTCTGTCTCTTATGCATAACTGAAAAATTAGTGTTTTTTTTTCAGCTTAATAGTACAAATTGACTGCTTCGAGCACTAATTTGAACAAACCGCGTTGATAAAGTTTAAGGTGGTAAAGCGTGGGATTTTAAGTACACTTTAAGTTCGTGAACCACTTCTTGTATAACTTATCTGAAGACAAATGATGCTTTTTGATCGTATATAGAGATAAATACCTTGAGTGAAAGTTGCCAAAGATTGTCAGATTTACTAGCATTACCTACCAGCTCCTGACGAAATCTCCGCCCGCCAATCGCCTTGATACGGTTCAAGATCTCGCGGAATCTGTATGCCAGTGCGAGGATTGAGATTGAAAGGATAGCGGGAACTAAAAGTCATCGCTTAAGCGTTTGATAAAGACTTTTTAATTTCCATAGACTGATACAGTAGCCTGTAACGAGTTTCAGGAATATAGAATAATCAGATGTTTGTTAGTGTAAGAAAAAGACCGAAGGGCTATTCCCTTCGTGCTCATTTACCTTTATTTACGATCAAAGAAAACTAGTTATATATTGGTGATAATTTTTAGGAAAATGAAGAAGACTGCGTTCTTGTCAAATCTACTCGAGGACGAATAGGAAAATGGGCAGATGAACGCTGTTCTATTTCTACCGGTTACATCTGTCAAACATGGAAAGGTATTGTATATCTTTTAATTATGTAAATCTTTACTGTATTTATAGGGAATACTAGCATTAAAAAGATATGTTTGAAGTCTACCTCGGCCCGGGATGATAACAAATAGGTATGTCTGTACCACGATAACAGTGAGGGAGTCTTGTTTCCCACATTGAGCAGTGTGATGACCTTGGACCAGAGCGACTCCCATCCAATAACCTACTCTTCTATGGGTCAGAAAAATTAATAGAAAAAATGAGTCATTGACTACGAAATAATTGTCAGGTGCAGCTCCAGAAATGTGGTTGGAGGATCCTCACACAGCCTCGGTAGCGTAGTAGGCAGCGCGTCAGTCTCATAGTCAATGAATTAGAGCCATCTGAAGGTCGTGAGTTCGATCCTCACCCGGGGCAGTTTTTTTGTCTCACGCCTGCATTTGACGCGTCAGTCTCATAATCTATGTCTTAGAGTCATCTGAAGGTCGTGAGTTCGATCCTCACCAGGGGCACAAACGTTTTTGCTTCACGCTCATAAATGCCGTTGAATGGGTAACACCAATACTTTGACATGACAATTGAGTCCTCAGCCTTGTAGGCCAAAAATTTTGTTTTGGCCTCGCCTATGATTAACTTTGTGTCATTTTGATGTAAGGAAAGAAAAGATGCTCAGACGATCAGAATTTAGACTTTGTTATGCATCTATTATTGCATCTATAGTTAGACCGAAGTCAAACACACGTCTAAAAACTGTACGTGTGCAGTGATAAATGAAGTAAAATAGACTGAAAAAACTTTTTGAAGATTCCAGCATCCAAACCACAAGATCAACATCGACAGCCGAAACTTCTAGAAACACCTGTCCATCAGCTTACACCGCTCTCGACGCAAAGACATGTTATAGACTGTACAAAACCCCCAAAACATGGACAGATGCCCAATTACAATGTGAGAGAGACAAAGCATCTTTATTTGTTGTCACCGATGCCGTTATGGAGGCCAATGTGTTGGTCTTGATGGACAGANTTTTTCTGTCCACGTATTCATATCTTTATAAGCAAATTCTTATCTAATATAAGGCGGAAATGCAAGGGCCGTTGCGTTGTTTGAAATATCTCACCATACAAGCAGTAAAAAGGAAACGTCAAACAGAGCTTATCATTTTGGGCGTCATTAATGCCCACGTGTTCATTGCATATGCACAGGATTGGCCAGTCAGTACACGTGGTCTGATGGCACGTCATTCAACTACAGCAACTGGGAGGTGGGTCAGCCAGACAACCACAACGGGAGGGAGAACTGTGTTGCTATGTACCCCCACACGGGGAAATGGCGGGACGATAACTGTGCCGGAGCCAGGAGCTGGATATGTATGGCACCAATAGCCGCCACTACACTGCCGAGTGTCACGACGCCATCTGCCACTGGTATTTTGAAAATATACGGCATGTTACATTGTTAAAATTGATAAGCAGTTAATTTAATTATTATTTATTATTATATTACAGTTAATCATTGTATCAATCCTCATCATCCACGTTATTATTTTTATCAGTAATATTATTATATAAGCATAAATGCATGCACTGATATTTTTGTTTATCGAAGTGGTCGCAAATTTTATTTTTCTCGATCGAATAGTATTTAACTTCAGGATACAAAATTGCGGTAGCCTGTTCAACAGTTTTTCATCATGGATCATACATTTAAAAAAATTGCCAATACCCTTGCAAACGGTTTTAGGTTGGTCTTAATTACTGATCTAAAAAAACACTCATCAACTTAATAAAAAAATTAACCATTGTATTTTCAGAAAACACTGAATGCGGCGTGAAGTGGAAGTCCCACGGCGAGTACTGCTACTTTCTAAGTGACCGGCCCAGGCCAGGGGAAGGGGCACCTATGTCGTGGTATAGGGCCAGACAACATTGTGTCCACATGGGTGGAGACCTCCTCAGTATCAACACGCGAGAGGAGGCTGACTTTATAACGACTCACATCAGCCAAACTATCCACCTTAAAATGTGGCTAGGAGCAAATGATCTCGACCTACAGGGGTACAGGTAGGCCTATTGGTAAAACCTATCACTGAATTTGTTGTTTTTAAACGAGCGCAACTCTGATTATATTGCTATATTAATTAATGCCCATGTGAGTGCGGTGAGTTGTCAGGAATCATGACAATGTACATACTCTCTTTTGTGGTGCGTAAAAACACTATCTCCATGGTTTGTAGAAGAATATATTTGCATAATATTTACAGATGGTCTGACGGCACCCCAATGTTGTATACCAACTGGGCGAAAGGGCAGCCGAGTTCTCAATATGGTGAGCAGAGGTGCTTGAGTGTCAATACAGGGAAAGAAAACACACAACCTGGTAAGGTGAACTGCAGTTAAGGCACCTTGCAATTCGCCTTAGGATTAGAATAAGAGATGAAAAAGAGTCTTATCACGTTGTAAAAAGTATTTGTTCTTTATCTAAAATTCACATGAACACGAGGTTTTAGGAAACATTACAGTTGAAATAATAAGATTATCGTTTCTGGTTTCTCAAAACACAGGGTTTCTTGCTCTCCAAATGAGATATAGATTTTCATTCAAGGTACTCTAAACGACGACCCATGTACCGAGTTGTTGCCTTTCATTTGCAAGAAACCCAAAACTGGCGGCACACCGGGCACAATCACCACCACGCCCACCATCAGGGGGTTTTGTCCCCGGGGGTTCGGCGGAATAGGTGAGAATGGCATCGTGGTTAAAAAACATACTGTATGTATATCAACATTCACTAAATTGGTACAGTTTATATTCCCCTTGTGTTCCAACAAATATAATTGAGAGAGTCAATCAAGATTGCACACTGCTATTGGTTACTTTTATAATGGAAGAAAATTAAAGAAATGTTCACTTCCCATTCCACGAGTTTATTTAAAATTTATTTTGTCACTGAAAAAGATATTTTCTCTCCGTGTCACAGGTAACCGATGCTTTGCGTTTTTCGGAGATGGCGAGAGGGACCGTAAGAACTGGACAGACGCTGCCGCTGCGTGTGCCGCTCTGGGACCTGCCTATTCCTTGGCCAGTATTACAAACTCTCTAGAACAGGGTAATTACAAGTGGAGATGCTCTCCCAAATTACCCTTTTTACCGAGAAATAAAAAGCACGTGATTTTGACGAAAAATAATAATAAAACTTGCACAGAAAAATCGGCTTTAGTAACGGTTACTTGGGTGGTAAAATGAGATTTTTACGGAAGAACCATATTACCTTACATTACCTGTACACAGGTATGAAAAGGACAATTATATATGTATCACAACTGAGTTTTTTATAATTGAATTCCCCGAAAGCCATGTAAATCTTTGAGTACTTCGTATGCTAGTCATAATCCGCCTGACCAATAGTATTTCTTATTGTTTATCGCTTTAGCGTACATAACCAGTCGACTCCAATACAAAGAAACAACCTTTTGGATTGGTTTAAACGACTTTGACAACGAATATTTCTTCCACTGGGTAACCAATGAGGAAGTGGCTTACGAAAATTGGGATCGGTTTGAACCAGCGGCCTATCAGAATGTGAGTAATAACTTTACAAGCAAGCATTTTTAGCAAAAGCTACATATTAAATGGGAAATGTCATCAATAACATCCCTACATTGCAGGCATTTAATAATTATATTTGAACAAGCCAGTAGCAGACCAATTTTGACATGTGATCGATTTGTTGCCTTGGTGTCGCCCTTGATTTAACGTACATTACGATCAAATAAAGCTAGCTATATATTGCTGATGTTTTTCAGGAAAACGAAGAAGACTGCGTACTTGTCAAATCTACTCGAGGACGAATAGGAAAATGGGCAGATGAACGCTGCTCTATTCCTACTGGTTACATCTGTCAAACATGGAAAGGTAATTTACATTAAACCTTTATTGTATTTACAGGGAATACTGGCATTAAAAAAGATATGCTTGAGGTCTATCTCGGCCCGGGATGATAACAAATGGGTATGTCAGTACCATGATAACAGTGAGGGATTCTTGTCTCCCACATTGAACAGTGTGAGGACCGTGGATCAGAGCGGCTCCCATTCAATAACCTACTTATTTATGGGTCAGAAAAATTAATAGAAAAATAAAACAGAGTCATCTGAAGGTCGTGAGTTCGATCCTCACCCGGGGCAGAGTTTTTGTCTCTCGCCTGCATTTCACCAAAGAGTGACTCAAACAACTCAATTTCTGTTTCTGTTTAACAGCGCAACATAGTTGCCTTTCTGTCAATCAAATTTTACCTTATGTCGAAAGAAAAAATTCACTTTGGACGAAAGTCCGTTAATTGTGACATTGAGGTTGGCCAAACAATAAATGAATGTTCGTTTCCTTTTCGCATCTTTTTTGTCGCTCTTTCTCCGGTCGAGAAAAATATGTGGATAATTATTGTCAATATCGAGCCTCGGTAGCGTAGTAGGCAGCGCGTCAGTCTCATAATCTATGGCTTAGAGCCATCTGAAGGTCGTGAGTTCGATCCTCACCCGGGGCACAAACGTTTTTGCTTCACGCTCATAAATGCCGTTGAATGGGTAACACCAATACTTTGACATGACAATTGAGTCCTCAGCCTTGTAGGCCAAAATTTTTGTTTTGGCCTCGCCTATGATTAATTTTGTGTCATTTTGATGTTAGGAAAGAAAAGATGCTCAGACGATCAGAATTTAGACTTTGTTATGCATCTATTATTGCATCTATAGTTAGACCGAAGTCAAACACACGTCTTAAAGCTGTACGTTTGCAGTGATAAATGAAGTATAATAGACTGAAAACACTTTTTGAAGATTCCAGCATCCAAACCACAAGATCAACATCGACAGCCGAAACTTCTAGAAACACCTGTCCATCAGCTTACACCGCTCTCGACGCAAAGACATGTTATAGACTGTACAAAACCCCCAAAACATGGACAGATGCCCAATTACAATGTGAGAGAGACAAAGCATCTTTATTTGTTGTCACCGATGCCGTTATGGAGGCCAATGTGTTGGTCGTGATGGACATATGGGCCGAACATACTTTGTGGCTCGGACTGAAGGACGACGGTGAAGTAAGTTTTCTCAAACTAAAACCATGCGTTGAATATGTGCACTATTGTGTTTTAAGGGTAAATGAAACTCATTTTTGCAGATTTTTAAAACAAGTTAACCAAAATGTCCAAGTTTATAGATCTTGACAATATTGCTTTGCCGACATAATTTATATCTTGTTAAATAAGTGAAACCTACCACTAGAAATTCCCCCAAAGTCTATACTGAGTATCATATGATGGTTTGCCTATAGGGACACATAGCGTGGGTAAACGGATGGCCATTGACATATACGAATTGGGATGTAGACAGCCCTAACTTGAAGACGGGTGAAAAGTGCGGTGTTATAATGGATAATGGGTTCTGGAACGTGACAGATTGTGGGGGCAGCTTACCTTTCATCTGTGCGGCAACCACGGGTTAGTGTGAATTTATAATGGGTACCGGGGGTTATATTGAACTGAAGAGGGGTTTTGGATGTATTGGACATTAGCAAACAATTATAAAAAGTTCAAAATGCATCTCGAAGTTTAATTTGAATACATTAAGTCCACTGCTGCTAACTTGATAATCAAATATAGTCCAGTATTGATAAGCTGTTATATTCATTTATCGGTGTGTTAAGCATTTATCGAAATGGCATCATCTCATCTTGTTAAACACTATGTTGCATTCTTGTACTTGGCATGATTCTGCACGCGTTGTTTTGATGCCTTTGATCACATTGCTTGTATTTACGCCAAGATTTTATTGCAGTAATGTTTATTTCAGCCAAACCCCCAAGTGTTACTCCTCCGACCCCAGGTTGGTGCCCCAGGGGGCAGGGCTGGGTGGGGCACGGGGCAGGGTGTTACTATTACGACACGCACGCTCAACTTAACTGGGCCGAGGCCAACTTTGCTTGCTATGAGCGCGGCGGCCATCTTGCTTCATTTCACAACCAAGAGGATATCGATTTCATACTTGGTGCGCTTGAAAGGGAAAACAGGCCAAGAAATTTGTGGATCGGGCTTGTTAGAAGTGAGAATGGTACGTCACAAAATCGATAATCTTTTAAATTTGATATTAACTCAAGTTTATTTAATACAAAGGCAAAAATTCTGATTTGTATATCCAACAAAACATCACTTACCTGTATAGAATGCAATATATTTTTTATAAATACTGTACCTATTAGCAAAGACTTACAACATGTAGCTACTTGTATAATGCAATGCATATATACTGAAGAAAATGCTGAAATTGAAACAGATTTTTTTAACCGACATGATTGCCACCTAGATACCTTTGCGTGGTACGATGATACCGTCGTAGACTTCACCCATTGGGAGCCAGGGCAACCCAATGACTTTGGCGGGAAAGAAGATTGTGTAGAGTTCAAGGTCAGCTCTGGTTGGTGGGATGACACTGAGTGCACGGTGACCATGGGTTTTCTGTGCAAAACTAGAATAGGTGAGTGTTGTGAACCATCTGTGCGCTCTTAATGCATGCTCCTGCAAGTAACGGTATTTGGATACCTCTGCTAATTATAAACCGCAGTTTATATTATCTACGGATATTCTCTGAACCAGAGACATAGCTGTGACCATCTACTGGAAAAACAATCTGTGGTCCTGGTAGAGGGTAGTACCCTGTATTTGGACAAATCTTTGACATTATCCAACAGTATTAAAATTTGTGATTTTGCAACATCATGATATTTCGCCCTAACTATTATTTCATTGCCATGGGCTTTCAAAGAAGAAAAAAGTGTCATATACGATTTCGACACTTAAGCATACATAACTCTTTGCAAAAGGCGACAAAGTAAACGAAAAACAAAATATACATATCGAAATAAAAACTTAGACTATAATTCTAAATCGCCATGTGTTTGCAGTGTCAGGTACGGCAGAGGTGGGATCTGTTGGTACAGTGTCGGAAAACTGCAGTGATATAACTACATCTCCTGGTAACTTTCAGGATCTCTCTCTGGAACACGTAGGTGGGTATAGTATATAAGAAACACATTTTATCTAAAATCATAATAAGGTAGACGCATTGTGCTTTAGGGACCATTCCCATACGAAGCATTCAGGTTCAGACATCGTACCAGCTGGATCTATCCAGTTTTGGGGGGATTCTCGATAAAGTGCAGTCAATTTAATCAGTTTAAATTTCTGAAACGCCTCCTCGAGCAGCTGAAGGGTAATTAAGCCGAACGCACACGGAAGTTACTTTAGCGAACATCCCCACAGAGTTGGATCGATTTAGCTGGTATTATATTTGAATCTGAACGTTCGCATAAACATACCGACCTACGCGGAACGACCCTTCAAGGGCTCTCGACAAGGGCAATCAGCTTAACATATCAACACGCCTCTTCCTGGCGTTAAAGAAAAAAAAAGTAGGCACGTTGGAAACGAGAAGAGACGTGTCCTTTAGTTAAGCTGATTGCACTTTGCGAGAGTACCCGCTAAATTGGGCTGTTCCACGTATACCAATGGTGTGACCACGGGAATGGGGTCTTATTTCTTTGATATTCAGGGGAAGGGGGGATGCACAAAGTTACTGATTTTATTATGTCTTTTCTTGAATATTTGTTTGATTTTATTTGGTAGATTTGAGTAAAAACAAACATTCATGAAATTGTTTAATAAGAGTGAACTGTTGCCAATGCAACAAAAATATTATAACTTTAATTTCGCCATTGACCATGAGTAAGATAATTGCCACTTTTAGGAAAATTAAAACTCATATAAAAGAATACTTTTGTTTTCTTGCAATCATGAGAATACTTTTGTTTTCGTATAATTATTGATTAAACTAATTAGAAGTTTCAATAATCGATTCTTTTTCAAGGAAAAACTGCCGTTCTGTGAATTGTAACTTATTTTCTTATTAATTGTATGCTACTTAATGCAAGTGCTCTCAGAAATAAACTCCCCTACTAACTATCTACCAGGTGTCGCGATGAACACGCCGTACGTGGTGGCCGTGGCCGTCCTCTCCGTGATCGCAGCCGGTCTTGTGGTGGTTGTTGGAGTCCTGCTGAGAAGAAAACATCGTCGCTCTAATATGTCTGCCTCATTCTTCACCCAGACCAGTGATGTAGAGTTTACGCCCACCATGCCGGAAACCTAATGGCTTGTGTGTTGGATCTTATGTAGATGTAGCTTGGTGGAGGCTTTAAAAAAAACGATACGTCTATGTATTTATCAGGATATAACTGCTCATAAAGGTTACAGCAGTTTAATTCCTCGTCTAGATTTAGTAAAGGGCTGTCTGAAGAAGGAAGTTTACGGAATAATTCACACACTCATTCATTGTGTTTACTAAGCGTCCGTATTTGGACCCAGGACATGTATAAGTTAAAACCTCTTCTAAAAAATATGCAGTGCGTATTGAAATAATGAGGAGCAGCACAGGCATAATTGACATAAGATTCTACATTCACAAAAATAATGACCACACTATAAAATACCAATTGTGTGTGTTGCTGTATGTGCGCTTAAATTGTGTTGTGCTGTGCGCAACTTCTGGGATCGGTTTCGTATTTGTTTTAATTGGTTTTCTTTTGTTTTAAGCAATATTCTCATAAAATTGCGGTCTAACACAGCAAAACTGTGAAGCATTTAACCGATTTGCAATACAGACAAATATTTTGTGGTAACTTTGTTTAAACTGACATGTGGTATCTAAAGTATCACATAAATGTAACTTAATAACAGTTCCACACATGCCGAAATCAAATAATTTCATAACAATAATAAAAACTGCTGTAACCCAATATTGCACAGTGTTTAAATGTTTAAGATGATATTCTGTTAAGTTATGCACACGGTAATTTAACATATGGCAGTGAAGATTCCCAACTTTGGATGCAGGCGGTGATCGGGAAATATTTATATCAAACCACTTAATAAGTACAAGGTATTTTTGAGCCTTTATTTGGTGAGAATCTGGCTGTTATCACCTAGTAAGAAAAAATTTTTCACTGGGTATGTTTTATTGCACTGGTATAATACGCATGGCACGGTGGTGGCCCAGTTACATGTAAGTCAATGTTTATGAGAATTATATAATTTTGGGCAAAATGCGTTTTTCTTTGTGAGTCACAGTTCTACCTACCAGCAGTGCTTCTCATTGCGTTTGTTGAGCAATTTTCTCCATAGGACAACCGGTGTAACGTGACAGAGAGTCCCTCATAACAGATAGTCTGCTTCCCATTCATTTGTACAGGTGAGCCTCGTATAAGATTTTGACCCACTTAGTTCGGGTTAATCCTAACCATTATAACTATATGGAGGGCGGACGTTCTGTTACACGGACCCTCAGTTTCGGTGCGTGCACATTCTTCCCACTAATAGCCGTGACTGTCGATAACGAGGCCTCTAGGAGGAGATGAGTAATCATGTCGCCACTGAGTGGTTTACCTCCGTGTAATCCCTGTCAGGTTAACCATTCACTTCCTAGGTGTTAGAGTTGCTTTAAGGACAGGTTTATAGAAGCGTATCAACATGGCGTCAGCAATGGTTCTGACTTTCATAACTCTCCTGACATTATCTGTAATATCTGCCGTGGTGGGCCAACCTCAAGTTACCACGAAAAACGGTGTAATAGAAGGACTTGTGACGGCAGTAGAGGGGCAGTCTGTGAATCAGTTTTTAGGGATTCCTTTTGCTGAACCACCTGTAGGAGCTCTGAGGTTTCTGAAACCACGGCCGCCCTCTAACTGGACTGGAGTTAAGCGGACCACCGCTTTTGGCGCAGTGTGTATGCAGAGTACCGATGTCTTAAATCATTACGGTGATCAGGTAATAATACACACACACACACACACACACACACACACACACACACAGAGAGAGAGAGAGAGAGAGAGAGAGATAGCCTGTCTGCTGTTGCATTTGAAAAGTCTTAGAACTTCTTCCGAAGTTAGTCTGATCTTTTATCTTAATATTTCGGATATTTTACGTTTTAGGTCATATTTTCATCAATGGATGGGTTTATTGCGTCAGCTACATCGATGTTTTTATTTTTAATATTGTGAATGCTAATTCCGTGTGTCACATATGTCCCCAGCTTGCGTTTTCTTTTCGCTAGGGAGATGAGAACGCATCAGGGTTGAAAAGATCCACAATAGCTAGGAATACACTGCAAACAAGCAGTGTGTGGCATTTATAAAAATTAATTAAAATAAATATCTTTTTATCACTTATCATTTCTATGTATGCATTCGATATATGCTGTATATATTACAAACAGTAAGTCAAGAGGTGCCTGGCTAAGGGAAACAGTGGTTTGTCGCCACCGTCAGGGTAAAGCCACATATTTGTACTAGACTCACATTTGTTTAAACTTAAAAAAGAAGCTTTCTTTAAAGACTTTAAAGAAAAAATCTATATCCCGTTAAGGTATGATTACAAGACCAAGCATTAAGACTGATGCACTTCCAACTCCTCTCTTGCTTGGGGGACACATACCATTTCTCACGTCCAAGTCCATCGTAATTAATTTCCTCCAGATGCCCCCCCTTCCCTTTGTAAAACATTGGTGCCACCAATGACACACACACGCGCTAGCGTGCATATTTTAAACCCAACTTGTGTATTTAACAAACCAAAGGGAAATAAAGTGTAAATTTAGTCAGTGTAGGCGAGTACCACTCCCATGCCAGGTGACATTTTATCAATGTTTATATTTGTCAAGTGTATTACAATATAGAATTGATTGAAAGCTCGAGTTCAAAGGCAAACACCTGAATAAAACTGATCACAGTTCAAATTATGACTCATAGTTTAAATATACAGTGATTCACTGATATCAAACACAGGGGCCCTGGGGCAAACAGATATGACATCAGGTTTTTAAACAAACCCCAAAATCTTTCCCGTACAGCATCGTTACGGACTGTGATTAATGGAATGTTTATTGTACATTTTGATAAAAGTGTTTCCTTTCAACAAAGATACATTGTCATTTAGTTTAAGAAGCTACAGTGCTAAACGTTGCTCAAGAACAAAGGAGATAAGATAAGACGGGATAATATGAGACCTTCGTCCTCCAACCAGTGTCGTGTGGTGCGAACATTTTCTTCCCTAAGGTGATCAGGGCGTTGTTCGCCTGTCTGAATCGTCACTTTAAGGGAAGAAAATGTTTCATTTAAGATTGAGATATGTCGCTCTATATCAAGAAATATTAAAACACACAAGATTTATTTGATTTTATTAATGGGAATTGAGTCGCGTGGGTTATGACTGTGCAGAACGGTTGTGAAATAGTGCACTTTTTTCAAAAGCCAACTTTGCTGTTATTGATTTTGTATTAAATTATCTATATTTTACCAGCATGTCAGGTGACATATTTGAAAAGGTGTTGACAGTAAACCATAAAAGGGTCTTCTACTATATATAATATTATTATTGCCCTTATGTATAATATTATTTTGTGTTGCCATTGCTGTTCTAGGAATGGTAATATCATAGAGTTTAAACGATGAATCGAGATTCTGATAAGGCAGTGGATCCTGTATTGATAGAATTATACGGGAAAATGCAAGGAAACCACGACGTCACCCATACGCGTGCTCTAGCGCGGACTTACCTGTTCATGTATATCTGATCGAGGGGAAATGTTAATTATGAAGATGGTGATTCTTTTCTCTTAAAATTTGAAATATTTAAACCTTTTAAACGTGTCATGGGTAATTTCTATTTTCATGTCAAGCTATCTGAAGACTGTCTTACCCTAAATGTGTTCGTCCCCGGGGCTGTAAGCAACACTAACAGGAAGGCGGTAATGGTCTGGATATATGGCGGGGGCTACACCACAGGAGGAACTAATATTTACTTCTTTAATGAATTTGGTACGTCATATTATGAGATATTTTGATTATGTTAAGTTTTAACTTAAAGAAAATACCGTGAAGCTTGAAAGGTACGTTAAGCTAAATACATTTAAGCGACTTCTGACAGTAACAGAACACCGACTAAGATTAAAACAATTACCATTACCAACGATTACCTAAGAATAAGACTAATATAACACTTAACTTAGTATGAGTTTCAAACTGCATGTGTAACAGAGGCGTTGAATTATATTGAAAATTCTGAAATGTTTTCTACGTCACTAGTGGTACGAAATGACGTCATCGTGGTATCAGTCAACTACCGCGTGGGTCCATTTGGGTTCTTGACCACTGGTGACGCCAACGCTCCTGGTAACGCTGGACTCTGGGATCAAATAGAGGGACTCAAATGGGTGCAAGATAACATAAAAAATTTTGGCGGAGACCCTAATAAGTAAGTGTTTTACCACTGTCACATGAACCAATTTAAATCAATGGAAACAGTCACAAAATGGATAAGTTCTTCAATAACGAGTAAAACAGTGGGCAAGTCTCCCGAAAGAAAGAGTAAAATGATAACAAGTAAAACGTATTTAGTTGTCTAGTACACATCAATGCTGTGTATCTTTATGCGCATCGTGAGTTCGTTTTTATTAGTAACATTTTAAGAGGTTGATCGAAATTGTATGACCAAATTGTGTCGACTTATTGTGTGTATCCAAATGACTATTCCAGTGTGACTATTTTCGGAGAATCGGCAGGTGGCGGTAGTGTTTCACAACTGGCTATGACGGTGGCCTCCAGGGGTCTTTTCCATCGTTTTATATCCATGAGTGGCACCGCACTAACCGATGGGACGTGGGTAAAAGACGGTCCTGACGTCGCTACCAAGGTTGGACAGAATCTTGGATGTAACGCTGCAGCATCGTTGGTGGCCTGTCTCCGTGCAGCCAATGCGACCTCTCTGCTCAAAGCGTCCGACCAGTCAATGTTCCCAGGACGGTATTCAGCCCTTTTTGCCCCTGTTGTCGACGGCGACATGTTTCCTCGTAGTGTGGAGGAAATGCTGAGGGATCCCAACTCAACTGAGTTGAGACATTTTCTGTCCCTGGATTACATGGGTGGATTCACGGACTCTGATGGCGGGGTTAACCTCCTTTTCCCACCTACCAACATCACACTTGGTGTACCGCCCGCTTATATGAGAGATACTTTCCTTCCTCAGTTTGCTGCCCGGACTTCCGCCTACCACAAAGATGAAATAGCACAGAAACTGAGAGAAATTTATTACAAGGCGAGTGCCAGCATGGTAGAGACCGGACGCCTAATGGTTAACCTGTATACTGATATATATTTTTCTGTACCAACAGTTGCCTTCCTTAGGAATCATTATATGTCGTCAGGTGGCTCCACCTATCTTTACTACTTCACCAAGGAGCCGTCATTCCCTCATCTCCTGCCCGTACCAGCCTGGTTTAAGGGTGTTAACCACGGGGACGAGGTCGTCTTCATGTTAGGGCCTGATGGCACTGCTCTATTCAACGGCACCTTCACGGAATTAGAGAAGAACGTTTCCAGAGCTTTTATGACCTACTTTGCAAACTTTGCAAAAACTGGGTAAGTCTGAATACGTAAAGGATGTACATGGTTAGTTGTGTAAAGAACTGCGGAATATAGACATGGAGAATATGACTTTAGTTAATCTTCCGTTAATTTCCAAACGCGTAAAGTGCACCTTTACGTTTAGTTTTAAAATATCTGTACTTTGCAACTTTCCAGAAACCCCAACACTCCTGATACTGTACCAAGCCTATGGCCGGAATATACGTATACGAGGGAAGAGTATCTAGACATCGGTGACGTCATCGTCAATAAAACTGACGTCATACCAGAGCGTATGACCCTGTGGTTAGACACCATCCCTAAGATACTGGCCAGGTCCACCACTTCCGCTCCGTCCACGACGCCGTTGACTAGTGAGGGGGTACAAACCCAGTTCAGCGCCATGCTTGCTATCCTTGTTATGTTTAACGTCTTGAAGTTGTTTTGTTGAGGTCGAGACTTTTCCTGTTTTATCATTTCCGAGATTCTGTAACCATGTTTAAAGAACATCGTTAAAGAAAAGATGTCCTGACCAAAAAGAATGTCACCTCTGTATCTGAACATGGAATATTTTCCTCAAACAGGGATTAGGAATCTGTTATTTTAGTGATACATGTATTATTGTAAACCTTTTCGTGTAAAATCGTTGATTGTTTTCATGAAAATGAAAAGACTGTTCAATCTCAGCATTTTAGTAATTACCAACTCTCAGATTAAGCATCCTTAAAGCGAGGATGATTTCTCTTTTAGATATGAACACATTGATTTTGAGTCAGGTTCAGTTTACAACTTTTGTAACTGAATGGATTAAAAAATATACTTAACATATCTTCATTACTACTTAGGGGTCGGTCGTGGCGTCTGATGAAAGCAATCTACTAGACTAAGAATCGAGAATGATATTTGTTTTCGTGTGCTACCTTTTAAGGCACACAGCACATATACTTTGCAAATTTTGTAAAAAATATTCTACTGGATGTCGGAGTGAACGCCCGGATGGCTCAGTCGGTAGAGTATCAGATTTCTAGGAAGGAACCTTTTGTTCTTTTTAAAGAAAACGGTCAACACGTAAAACCATACTTCTCTTTTCTCAAATTTTTCATAGCCAGAAACCCAGGTGCAAGCTGGCCAAATTGTGGCAACTTATTTTACATGGGGGCTCTTAATTTATGGCCGGAGTCGTTAATTAGAGCATCTGTGCTGCACAATCTACACTGGATTTAATATATACGATTAGAAAGTAAATGCTTTGATGCTTTATTATACATAAGTCAAAGAAAGCAAATCTTGACAAACAAAATTTGGTTTTTACTTTGTATCTCTTACATGATTTTGCAAAAAATTAATCATCTCTGTACGTAGACAATTCGTAAACTTATTTTGTGACAGCATACCAAGAGATGACGTTTCCTCCAAAATTATCTCCACAGTTCGCAACTGCTGCCACGTCAACATTGTCGGTGTTCCAAACATTGATGCTTGTGACGTCACCAACATATACTTGTGTAGCGACAAACCCGCCGCCTACCGTATCTTGATCTTGTCCAACAATCCAAACTCCATCTTAAAATAAGTTGCACTTATAACATATCTTCGTTTTGTTTTATTCCATAAGAAATATATAAAAAAGTTAATAAATAACTTATAAAACGAGGTACCTACTCGAAATACATATTCGGCACGAGTTGCCCACTATCCAGATTGATACTAAACGTGCTAACAGCAACAATTACTTTTAGCGCCATTTGCATAAATATTTAAGGATTGTCCTTCTTATACATGTCACCGATTTATAAACACCAGATAAATGAAAAGTATTTTCTTACTTGCTGGTATGGTTTTTCCGTTTGGAAGCCAGTTCCCGCCGCTGCAGGCATACCATCTTTGTATTCCGTCCACTTCCCACCACGATTGTTCCAAGAGAAGCACCAGTGTTGCCAGGCCCCATCATCGACTTTAGACACGGATGTATCTTTTTTTGCGTTAAGTACATGGAGTACGATGGCTCCATTTTTCTTGTACCCAAGGAGGAAAGCGTTGTCCTTTAAAGGCACAGCGTAAGACAGGAGGTATGCCTCGTCATTTCCAGAGAATGCGGTCTTTACTCTCAGACACGCTGACATGGCGGTTATCGCAGGAGTGGCTGCGTGCAGCTTCACGTAGCTCTTTGTGGCCAGTGGAAAATTGTAGTTTTATCTGGATATAAGCACGATAGATTTTTTCTAAAATATGTTGCCGGGTTTTCATCTTTGTAGATGTATCAACAAACAAGTGGAGCTTTGGATTTTTATATCGCCTTAACGCAGTTTTTCTAAGACTGTTTTACAAGCAACTGTACCACGCAGTTAAAGTCGACAAAATTATATTTAATGGCTGTCGTCATCAATGAAAGTAAAAAAGGCATTTCCAAGGAAATCACATGTTAATGGACCGCTGTCGAAACGCAGAATTAACGACCTTTCAAAAGTGTCTTTGTGGAACACAACTTAGTAGTATGAAAATTCTTGGCTGTCTTTGGTTAACCAGATGCAAGGTGCTTAAGGTATTAAAATACGCGGATCATTCAACAAAATAGGAATACTCTAGTGAGTGACGCATTTTGTGTAATTTTGAAATATTTAATTTTACATTTATATAAAACTTCTTTTTATCGCTTTTTAATCACTGTTCATTTATTTCTATTTTACAGGGTACTGCAATATAAAACAAGTCAAAATTGTGCAAACATTATTCAAAATCGGTAACTTACTGACGTGGCTCAAATGTTCACTTTTTTGTGGAATGTAACAATGTGGATATGTACCCTTGAAAACAGTAGTGGCTACTGGTGCGTCCATTTCTAATACTACTAAGGGCGTATTCCCAGACATTTAGATCGATCTATTCCCGTGGGGAGTCTCACTAGATTACTGTCATATAATCCGGCTTAAATGTCCGTCCCGCCTACTACAAGCTGTAAGGGGGTAATTAACTTTCGTGCCCGCTCGGCTGACAGCTATTTAGCGTGAACCCCCAGGGAGTTATGTCGATCTAGTTTGGATCGATCTAATCTCTGGGAATGGGGTCTAAGCCTATATCCTCCCTGAAGTATGGGCAAAGAGAGCAACTTACCAGCGATGGACAACACAACGGAGAGAAGTAAAACAGACGCTGTTAAAAAGTACATGGATCTTAACGCACGGAGCTCCAGATGTATTTCACTAAACAGACGAAATGCTGTTAGTATATGTATGCGTAATTTGTTAGTTATATACATGTACAATGTAGTGGTAAATGTCTGTCCTGTTTATTGGAAAATCACGTTAGGTCATAACCAGCTACGCGGATGTAATATCTGACTAAAGGACCTGAAGATTTATAGCAAATTCGACATTTACCGCAAAAAGCCCCAGCACACATTGAAGCCGTACACACGACAATTTCTGTTATCCCTTGAATCTCAGCTGTCGCACTACCTTCGAGATTCCGTGCAATTTCAAACCCACTCCAGACGAGCGACCGGCGTCGAGGTTCGTTAATAGGTGGCAAAATTTGATTATTTATGGTTGCATAACTTTATGGTATTTAATATGATTAAAAGAATTATTTTTCATCAGAGAGATTCACCAAGGAGTGGTCCACGTACTTAACACATTTTAAACCTGAACGCGTCTCCTCTTCAAACTTTATCAACGCGGTTTTCTTATTTTATGCAGATTTACAACGCAACTGAAGCCACAAATATGATTTACGTTATGCAATTAAAGCCTTTGTTGCTTTGCCAGCCCCAAAATGTGTATACACATTAGCGAAGGTTGGCAGGACCTGGTTTACAAATTTGAACCGCGACATTATTGCAAATATTTTGCTTGCCATCAGACCATGTGGACCTTTGTAGATGGTCATACTTTTGTATTAAACTTTTAAGAGATTATTACAAAAAAAAAAATAAAAAAAAAATAATAATAATAATAATTTAAAAAAAAAACATGAACTAACTGTAAATGTTGGAATGGATTCATTAATCATTTGTAAGTATGTGAACATCGTTTAAACCAGGAAAATTCGTTTTGGCTACCACAAACAGTTGCTTTCCCTTCAATTGTTATAAATCATCAGCAGACGTGGACGTGTAATTGGCTTTAAGGATATTGTAACCTTTTGTTATCATCCAGAAACGGAAAATGATATTGTTCCTGTATCTAATGATTTGATAATGCATCTATCTCTGTGCTGATTTAAAACAATTAAAAAAACCCTCGAAAATATAAAATATCGACCTTTATAATTCTTGTTGCAATGTATAAGCATAAGCAATTCAAAGCTATAATCGTCAGTTTAACACATTTCTATTTTGAGGTGAGGTAGCAATCGGTATGGGGTGTAACTTTATCTCTGAACAAGTTTTGTCGCGAAAATTGGCAGAGTTGACCATGAGTGTATAGGCTACAATCCCGTGCCATCATTTCGGTTTAAATGTTTTTGTTATGGAGTGATGAGCCCCTAATTACAGATTTTCGTTAAACAAAGGCTTTGATTTGCTTTATCAACGATACAGTCTGAACTAAGACTTTTAAGAAAAATCGCTGGCAGGGTTTTGGAGTGCTAAATGGTGTCTTTAAATCGGCGTTCAAATGGTGCCGTACATGTACGTGCCCAAATAACCAAGTATAATTTGAGAAGCCGATTTTTCAGTTTTTACCCCAATTATGACGTCACAGTACGATGACATGTGTGAAAATGTTAATTTATTTAGTCACTAAACACTAAAGATTTATCTTTTATCCAAAAGAATGTATGTAAGGCAGTAAATAAGGAGTTTTGTGCGAAGGGTGACAATAACCTTAAGGCGGGTATCTGATACGAACTTAAAATTAGCTCTAGGCTCTAAGTTCCTGTAGTCAGATATCACATCCGTGCAGCTGGTTATCATCTAATACAAGAAACGTGATGTTCTAATAAACAGGACAGACGACAAGCACTATATAAGTAGTAATGTACGCGTGAGTGTACTAACAGTCTTTCGTCTGTTTAGTGATACTCATCTGGAGCCCTGTCAGAAAAGAACCATGCGCTTTTTAACAGCGTCTCTTTTACTTCTCTCCGCTGGGTTGTCCATCTCTGGTAAGTTGTTCTCTTTCCCCATGCTTCAGGAAGGGTACAGGCTTAGTAGAAAGACACTATTTTTTTAAAGGGCACATATACATGGTAAGTCATTCCACAAAGAAGTGAACATTTGGGTCACGTCGGTAAGTTACCGATTTTGCATAATATTTGCATACTTTTCACTTGTTTTTGTAGTTTTATATTGCAGTATCCTGTAAAATAGATATATATCAACAATTATAAAAAGCGATTCAGAGAAGTTTATTATTTAAAGTTTTAAGTTGATGTTTAAATATAATACAAAATGCGTCACTGCGTGACTAAAATATTCCCCTTTAGTGGAATGATCCGCATAGTAATGACTCAGGCACATGACATCTGTTAAACCAAAGAGTGCTAAGAATTTTCAGCCAACTAAGCTGCGTTTCTCTTTCGGTCTTTTAGCAGTGCTACTTTAGCAGATTGTCATTTTTTGGGAAACGATCATTTACTTTCATTGATGACAAAGGCCATTAAATATAACTATTTTTGTCGACTATGACGGTGTGGATTAGAAGCTTGTAAAACTATCTTAAGTCAAACTTTTAAAAACACAAAGCTGCAGTTATTTGTTGAAACGCCCCCAAAGATGGAAGCCCTGTGACATATTTCAAGCCAAATGTCCCCTAATTATTTCCAGATAAAACTACAATCCTTCGCTTGCCATCGCCACAGACCACAAAGAGCTACGTGAAGCTGCAGGCAGCCACTCCTGCGATGACCGCCTTGACAGCTTGCCTGAGGGCTAAGACCGCGTTCACTGGAAATGCCGCTTCATTTCTCCTGTCTTACGCCGCGACTTCTACGGACAACGCTTTCCTCCTTGGGTACAAGAGAAGTGGAAAGATCGTACTCCATGTATTTAACGCAGAAAAAGATACGTCCGTGTCTACAGTCTATGATGGGGCCTGGCACCACTGGTGCTTCTCTTGGAACAGTCGTGGTGGGAAGTGGACGGTTTACAAAGATGGCATGCCTGCAGCGGCGGGAACTGGCTTCCAGACGGACAAAACCATACCAGCAAGTAAGAAAATACGTGTCATTTAGTAATGAGTCAATTTTGTGATAATTAAATCGTTGACATCTGAGAAAGGTAACCTGGGCCCCGTAACTCGAAAGCATCGCGTATGGCGACCTGCGATATCACATCGAGGCTACAATGTATTATATAGGGCGAGTATGGGCGAGTTATGGAATCGAGACGCTTGCGCTTGGTCGCGATGCGCGATGCGTTCGAGTTACGGGGCCCAGGTTACCCTGGATATGTTTTTATGCAAATGGTACTCAAAGTAACTGTTGTTGCATGTCCGCACATTCCGCACCTATTTTGAACTCACTTTTGATATGCCACACATTTACTTCTGTAGTAGGTACCTGCCTTTGTATTGTTTATTCATATAATTTTATACCAGAATTATCAGAAAATGAAATCAAATAAAACAAAACGACTATATGTTATTTTTTAAACTTATTTTAAGATGGAGTTTGGATAGTTGGACAAGATCAAGATACGGTAGGCGGCGGATTTGACGCTACACAAGCCTATGTTGGTGACATCACGAGCATCAATGTTTGGAACACCGACAATATTGACGTTGCAGCAGTTGCGAACTGTGGCGATAATTTTGGAGGAAACGTCATCTCTTGGTATGACGTCAGCAAAGAAATTCACGAAGTGTCTACATACAGAGAAGATCTTTGCAAATTGAAATAAGAGATACAAAGGAAAAATTAAATTTCGTTTGTCAAGTTTCTGCTTTTCTTCTCTTTCATAAAGGTATAATAAAATGTGCTTTATCTTAACAAAATATTTGTTTTTGAATTTCAAATCCTTTAGTTTTTATGTATGATAAAATGCCAATCAATTGAAAAAGTGTGAATCCAAAAAGGGAAGGAATAAGTACAGATGCATTTAGAAGCCATTACAGATTACATGATATACTAAATCCTATTATGTTCTTAATTATCTACTACATTCCAGGACGTTCTACAAAAATTCTAGATTTAATTGAAGGTTACTTTGGTTCTCACAACACCTAGCTGCTAGCCTTGGGCTCCTAATTAGGTGATCGATTATCGTACAGTTGGCTGTGGGATGCTTACCAATCAGTCACTTTCCTTGGCTTTTGTCGTCTGGTAGATCGAGGTCTGTGTGGTCCATATACTCATCACCGGGCGCTTGCGCTGTTGTATAACAATGGGTTAATAATTAGTAATCATTCTTGAAGACCAACTTGTGTCTGAACAGTGTTGTACCGTACTACACTGGGTTGGCTGTTCTCATTCTCGAAGACCCCCATGTGTCTGAGCTGTGTATGCTGCTCGACGGCTTCTCAATCTTACTCCCATTGAGGATGGAGATGTAGTATTTGGACAAATCTCTGACCAGGGCCTCCTCTTTCCCCTTGATTGTGAATGTTTCATCTGAAGGGCGTGAGTTCAAGCCTCGCCAGGGGCAGAACATTTTGGTCGCGCCCATGCTTTACTCTGTGTTACGTCGATATTTTAAAGATGCAATTTTTGCCACAAGAACTGATCAAATGCTAACATATACTGTAGTTTCAAATGGAATAACTAAGATATAGCAAGATATTCCCGAAAAGTGATATTTCCGGCTTACTTTCTGTGCTGTATATAACAGGGGCTGATAAGTAGGTCTGTAAGAAGGCCATGTACGACCAAAAATTTGAAGAACGTGCAGTTTTAAAGCTCTTTTATGGCTAATCGAGTGATTAAATCTGTTTATCCTTTGGCCATCGACTTTATTTGATTCGTAGAAAGAAACTAGTACCAGTTAAAGTTGTTTGCATTCGTGACAGGAAATCCACGCTTGTTTCAAGTGTATCTTTAATAAAAAAAGAAAAGATGCATAGATGATCTGAATTAAGGCTTTGTTGTTGTGGAAGCTATACTGCTTTACAACTTAGTCGAAAAAGGCCGAATTCTCATACCTGTTGGTTAATTTATTATTATTATTATTATTATTATTATTATTATTATTATTATTATTATTATTATTATTATTATTATTATTCTGTTAAACAATCGAAAGAACCAACGCTATTACCCCGTTTCTATATTAAATTTATCCCCGGTGCCACTCAGGATTATTTTTTGTGTATCTTGCTGAGCAAGTCTCTTTTAGAATTGAATGAAGCAACGGTTATTTTCTGTTTCAGCGGTTATTTTTCATAAAAACTTACACCCCATTTCCATAGATTTTTAGATCGATCTATCCCTGTGGGGAGTCTCACTAGATTACTGTCAGTTTGGCCGGCTTAAGCGTCTGTCCCGCCTACTAAAAGCTGTAAAGGGGTAATTAGCTATGGTGCCCGCTCGGCTGACTGCAATTTAGCGTGAACCCCCAGGGAGTTAGGTCGATTTAAATCTTAATCTCTAGATCGATCTAAATGTCTGGGAAAGCACCCTTAAAATCAAGGTTGAAGTAAAGTTTGATTATACTTATTACTACCTTTTTATTTACCCATACCCTACGTCAGCAAACAGAACCAATCGTTGTTTGAGAAAAAAAAAAGCAATGATACAGTATATGAAATAACTAGAAAGGTGCGCTTTTTTCCCTGCGCCTTTCCGAGGTCGATAAACTAGGATACAAAGCGTATTATGTGGCCTCGGTAGCGTAGTAGGCAGCGCGTCAGTCTCATAATCAATGAAGTAGTGTCATCTGAAGGTCGTGAGTTCGATCCTCACCCGGGGCACGAATCATTTTGCGTCACGCTCCTATATGCCGTTTTATACTGTAGAAGGAGCGGCCCCGTAATTATTATATGGAAACTTAACCCTCAGCCTTGTAGGCCAGAATTTAGTTTGGACTCGCCTTTGAATTTGATATTTCAGTAGGAATTTACAGTCTGACACAACAAAACTGTGAATAATTTTACCAATATAGCTATACAGACAAATTCAACGTTACTTGTAAATCCGTTTATATCGATTTGCAATTTGATAAGATATCACATACCCTGTAACTAAGCAACAGTGCCACATAGGGGCCCAATATAACGTGCGAAAGGCCTCATTATTAAAGCGTAACGTAAACCTGCTTGCGACCATTTACTCAGGCCTATAATACAGATGAATGTTATTTGGAAGAAATAAAAGGTCTAAGACCACTACAAATTCCATACAAAAACTACTGTAGCGAAATCTTTTCAAGTGTACAAATATTTTAAAGGGTAGTATTCCGTGACCTAATACACACGGTGATTTAGCATTAAGTAGTGAAGATTTCGAACTTAACATGATGTTATCAGGAAATATTTATAACAAAACACTACATAAATTCAATGTATCTGTGAGTCATATAATTTGATAAGAATCTGACGGTTTTCAGCAAGTGTTGGAAAGGATTTCACTGCTTATGTTTAGAGAATGTTTCATAATACATCATATAATGTATTATAATCATATAATGTCACTCTGCTGGGTTACTTAGTTAAAGCTTATTAAAACTGTACAATTTTGGACAAAATGACATTTTTCTTTGGGAGATTTTCAAAGTCACATTTCTTCCAGCAGTGCGTCTAATTGCGTTAGTTGAGCAATTTTCTCCAGCACGACAACGGGCGCGGCGCGTGCACATTCTTGTTGCTACATAACGGTGACTGACTGTCGATGACGAGGCTTCTAGGAGGAGATGAGTAATCCTGTCGCCACTGCGCGGTTAAATAATCCCTGGCAGGGTAAACATTCACTTCCTAGGTGTTAGAGTTGTTGGGATGGCAGGTTTGAAGAAGCGTAACAGCATGGCGTCAACATCGGTTCTGACTTTTAAAACTCTCCTGGCATTATCTGTCATATATGCCGTGGCGGCCCAACCTCAACCTCAAGTTACCACGAAAAACGGTGTAATACAAGGACTTGTGACGACTGTAGAGGGACAAGCTGTGAATCAGTTTTTAGGTATTCCTTTTGCTGAACCACCTTTAGGAGCACTGAGGTTTCTGAAACCACAGCCGCCCTCCAACTGGACTGGAGTTAAGGAGACCACCGCTTTTGGTGCAACGTGTATGCAGAGTACCACTGACCCTAGTCCTTACGGCGACCAGGTAGTAAGAGAGAGAGAGAGAGAGAGAGAGAGCATGTCAGCTGTCGCATGTGAAAAGTTGTAGAACTTCCTTAAAATGTTAGCATGATATTTTACTTTAAAATTTCGGATGTTTTACCTTTTTGGTCGTATACCTACATCAGTGGATAGGTTTATAGCGTCAGCTGCATTGATGTTTTCATTTCACTCTTGTCAAAACACTTGTCAGTTAAAAAAGAATAGAGTCACCCTTTTAACGATCATAGTCCATAGTGTGTAGGCCTTATAACAAGTAATCAAAGCCCCTCATTAAGGACAGGAAAGGAAATAAAATTATAAATGGAAAATTTTGTCAGCGTAGAAGGGAACAGCTCTCTTGACGCAGGGGCGGATTGAGGCTGTCTTCTGGGTCTTCCGGAAGACGGTCAGATTTTCAAGTTAACATTGACGGTAACTATTTTTTCTGTTGGAAGACGGTCAAAAGTGGAGCACCGATCAACAAAGAAAATTTGGAAGACTGTCAGAAAATATCTCTGGACTGCTCCATATTATATCAATGTTTTTATCGGTAATATGCACGTATTACATAATTGATTGAAAGCTCGTGTTTTAGGGAATTAAGCTCCTGAATAACACTGACCAGCGGTAAGCCACATTATCAGCCTAATTATGCAGTGATTACATACCATATCTCTGTTATGAGGGGGGCAAAAAGGGACCATTCCCAGATCATATCGTACTAAGTGTGGATCGATCTATCTCAGAGGGGATTCTCGCTAAATTTCTATCAGCTTAGTGGCTTAAATGTCTGACACGCCTACTGATGCCGCTAGTGGTTAATTAACTATCATTTAGTAACTTGAGTAGGCGTGACAGACATCTATGCCGATGAAGCTGAAAGCAATTTAATGAAAAACCCCTTGGAGATGGATCGATCCTGTTAGATCGATCTAGTCATGGGAACCCAGTTATAGATACGATTCCAGGTCTTTAAATGAAAATTTAACATATACATGTGTACATGTCAATATCTCCTGTACAGTGCCAGGCCTTATATAAACGGATTAGGCGCCCATATGAAAAGATCTGTGGGTAGTAGGAGAGTGAGTGTCTTTGAGACCATTCCCACGGATATTTGGATCGATCTATCTCCCTAGGGAGTCTCGCTAAATTGCTGTCAATTTGGCCGGTTTAAATGTGTGTCACGCCTAGTAAAGGTGTTAGGGGGTAATAATCTTTACACCGAGCTGATTCGGTAGGCGTCACAGACATTGAAACCTCTTGAGCTGATAGCAATTTCTCGTGAACCCCCAGGGAGCTAGGTCGATCCAGATGGATCGATCTAAGTATGGGAACCCAGCCTTTATGTCATTATGCGATAATGGAATGTTTATTGTTAATTCTGTTGTATCATTTCGATAAATACTCAGTATAGTTTGATTAAATGAAATATTTGCAGTGCTGAACGCTGCTCATGAACAATGGAGGTTAGATAAGACGCGACCTCGTCCCGCAAGCAAAACTGGAAAGAGGTCACGTGGTTAGGCAATGTGGCGTGGTGCAAGCGTCTCATATCAGGGCGTTGTTCTCTCTTCGTTTAGCAACTTCCACTAATAATCGACGCTGCACTTTTATAACATTATTTTTGTTCCCACTGTTGGAAGGAATGGTAATATCAAAGAATTTAGAAAGTGCACATGAATCCCGATACTGATTAATTCTTACATAACATCCCTGCCGGTGTGACAGGAATGATAGTCCTAGGATTGGATGTCCGGTGTCACGAAACTGAAGGTCCGTGTGACAGAAAGTCCGCCCTCCATATAGTTATAATGGTTAGGGTTAGTCTGACCTAAGTGGGTCAAAATCTAGGGCGAGGCTCACCTGTACAAAGTAATGGGAAGCGGACTCTTTTTCACGGGGACTCTCTGGTACATGACCCATATGATTAGTACAGGTTAGGGTTAGAATATTGGGTATTGGGGTTAGAACATAATGGGAAGCGGGCTGCGGTTCCTAGTGAACTTCCATTCCTGTCACAACGGACATTATGATAATATGGTGAAGTGTCCTGATAACGAATTACGCAACATCGTCAATAACGAGATAAAGACACATTTACAGAGCATGCTGACGCTCACATACTGATCTTAAAGACATATAAAACATGTTAGACTTTATAGAACGGCGGATCAGGTGACCCTCTCCTAGGAATTTCTCACAAGGATGCGGGCTGCTTATCTTCATCATCACTCTTTTGAAAACCATTAAAAAGCTTTATTTGTAGTTTGAATTTTCTGTTGCCTTTATAAAAATACTCTTAGATGATTAAGAATGTCATGTCAGAAATATATTTTCTTTTCATAAAAAAACTTGAATGATTTGAGGTCTCCGCAGTGCACCAATGAGCAACCTTCACTACACATGCATAGATGCTGCCTCAAAGTAATTAAAATGTTTAATTTTTTCAAAACTAGGTGTGTATTGACTGAACTAAGCAATACCACGATGCAACTAAATCTCCAGGTGATAAAAGCGCCAGCGTCTCACTCGGGAGAACATCACTCAACGCTTACGTTATTCCAAAACCTTGGGGGAATATATGAATAAGACCTATATTTGCATTGCTATGCAAATTTAAACATTTATTAGAGCACTTGATCGTGTGTCTATTTTGTAAAATAAGGTAATAGTAGGCTGAGGCAGAGGGGTCCTCTTACGCGTCTTAATCAGGGCTGCTGCGACAAAACCGGTTTAAGGTTATGCCTCAAATGCGGACAAGTTGACCTTAGCATGTGAAACACGAGAAGTATGAAACGCCTTCTTTGGTCCTAGTTCATTTTTGTGAGGAGGTTTGGTTTGTTTCCCATAGAGCAGTGAGTGTCTTATCCTCTACCAGTGCCAAAGATAAGATGTCACTAGATATTCACAGATACACGTCGTCTCTGTGCACTTTACTGCACTGTGACGGGTGATAATTTGTATATGATTTACGTTATCCCCACCCTGAGCTTCAGAGATAACTTGACACTAACCTCTTCACAATAGCCTATCTTCATCGTGTCAAGTTACCTCTGACGAAAATAGTTTGACCTAGTTTATATAAGCCAATCGAATCCAAGTTTCAAAATTTTTCACCAAAGTTTGGTGAAAACGCTGATTGGTTGACCGTCAATCGGTAATCCTCGGCTGATTCCGCAAGCTCCATACTAACAACAAAGTTATTGTCGAGTGCGGAGACATCCGAGTAGTGCCGAGTGCATAACCGTACACAAAGAAAGCATGGCGTCTTCTACGAGTGACTACGTAAAATAATGTGTTAAGTTATCTCTTGATTCTTTGCAAAATATGAGTATATCGGAATTGAAACCAGAGCAGTTTGAGGCCCTGCATCATTATCTACTGAGGGATGATGTATTTTGCGTGCTGCCCACAGGTTACGGCAAGTTCCTGATATTGAGCCTTATCTCTGATTGGTCCGGATTTGAACAAAGCGCGCTTTGACTCGTTCACGTTCATTGGCTAGATCGTTCAATGAGTCATTGAGTGCGGGCTTTAAATTTGATTGGCGGGCGGCGGGGGCAATCGAATGTGGTCAGAGGTAACTTGACACGATGAAGATGGGCTATTGTGAAGAGGTTAGTGTCAAGTTATCTCTGAAGCTCAGGGTGGTTATCCCTAACCTGAACTTAGGTTGAACTTAGGTAGAGAGTAGAAATAAGACCCCATTCCCACAGATTTTAGATCGGTCTATCCCTGTGGGGAGTCTCACTAGATTACTGTCAGCTTAGCCGGCTGTCCCGCCTACTAAAAGCTGTAAGGGGGTAATTAACTGTCGTGCGCGCTCGGCTGAGTGCAATTTAGCGTGAACCCCCAGGGAGTTAGGTCGATCCGGATGGACTCTAATTTGAGACTTAAATCCAAAGTGATGTTATTTTAGCCGATGAATCCTGGTCTGTTTTTGCTAGTCTTTCTTCCGGATGGTGTCCAAAATATAAGTTTGAAAACTGGCTGATCTAAAGTTAACGCGATGATACGTCATTTGTTAAACCTACCCGGAGTTTTTACATCAGATACTTTTTTGTCCAAATATGATAAAGACATTTACTTATACATAAGCACATAAACTAATTCACGCGGTGTATTTGTTTGTAGCATGTTAGCCACCTTTGATTAAATTTGCGCGTTCCTGGACAATACGTCTACTGCAAAATATGTCTGATTTAATTAAGGCAGTGGATCCTTTGGAATCTTGATAGAATTACCGGTATACAGGAAAATGGCACGAAATCACAGCGTTTGTGAGCTTAAATGCCTGATTGAGGGATAGTGTTAATTTAGATGATGATGACTCTCTTTTTCGTTAAAAAGTTTAATTAATTAGCCATTTTAAACGTGTCATGAATAGACAGCGCCGTTAACTATTCATTCATTAATTCCTTTCTTTAACTCCAGCTGTCTGAAGACTGTCTCACCCTGAATGTGTTCGTCCCCGGGGCTGTAAGCAACACTAACAGGAAGGCGGTAATGGTCTGGATATATGGCGGGGGATACACCACCGGAGGAACCAGTCTTTACATCTTTAATGAATTTGGTACGTCACACTATGAGATGCTTTGATAACGTCACTCTTATTTATAACTTACGGAATGCTGTGCACCTTTTATGAAAGAATGATGCGATTTTTTTCAGTCAGCAGCTTATATTGATATAGTTTTTACATCCGATATGTCGATGTTGATTTCTGTCTCAACAGAAATTATGGTGTCATCCTCCCTCTTCCTCCCTTTCCTAAGACAATAGGTAGGGAGGGGGGCAAGTACATCTCCTGAATAGAGGCTATTCACCTGGATAGCCTCAGTCCCTGATAAAGGTGTCCCTAGACATCGAAATATTGGAGGTAAAAACTATATCAATATTAGCTGTTGACTGAAGAAAAAAATCACATCATTCTTATAACATAACACAGCTGATAAAATTCTTCTCTGACTTTTATGTAAGTTTTAACTTAAAAAACAATAAGCGACTCTTGTCAGTTGACAGGAAACAGAATTAAACTTATAGAACACTTAAATTAGTACTACTTTCAGACTGCACGTGTAACAGAGACATTTATTTGTATTAAACATTCCAAAATATTACCCATGTCATTAGCGGCCCAGAATGACGTCATCATGGTATCAATCAACTACCGCGTGGGTCCATTTGGATTCTTGACCACTGGGGACGCCAACGCTCCTGGTAACGCTGGACTCTGGGATCAAATAGAAGGACTTAAATGGGTGCAAGACAACATAAGAAATTTTGGCGGAGACCCTAATAAGTAAGTGCTTAACTCACTGTCTTAATCATTTTCAAAAAGTTGAGCTAATGTTAATCAATGGGAATAGTCACATAGTGGATACGTTCTTCGAAACAGTTGGAAACTGTCCCAAATAAAAAGAATAAAGAATAACACAGCAAACTGTAGTCAATGGGCCGTCTAGTACATTGCAATGTTGTGTATCTTTATGTGAAATAAGTGTCAGTTTTTATAAGTAACATTATAAAAAAAGCGATCGAAATTTTATGACCAAATTGTGTCGACTTATTGTGTGTATCCAAATGACTATTCCAGTGTGACAATTTTCGGTGAATCGGCAGGTGGCGGTAGTGTTTCACAACTGGCAATGACGGTGGCCTCCAGGGGTCTTTTCCATCGTTTTATATCCATGAGTGGCACCGCTCTAAGCGTTTGGGCCTGGGTGAAGGACGGACCTGACGTCGCTACCAAGGTTGGACAGAATCTTGGATGTAACGCTGCAACATCGCTGGTGGACTGTCTCCGTGCAGCCAACGCAACCGCCCTGCTAAGAGCGTCAGACCAGTCATTATTCCCAGGGCGGTTGGCAACTCTTTTTGGCCCCGTTGTCGACGGCGACATGTTTCCACGTAGTGTGGAGGAAATGCTGAGGGATCCCAACTCAACTGCGTTGAGACATTTTCTGTCCCTGGATTACATGGGTGGATTCACGGACTCTGATGGTGGAGTTAACCTCCCTTACATCCCTATCAACGTCACTCTAGGTGTCCCGCCCTCTTACATGAAGAATACTTTAATTCCTCAGCTTGCCGCCGGGACTTCCGTCTACCACAAAGATGAAATAGCACAGAAACTAAGAGAAGTTTATTACAATGCTAGTGTCAGCATGGAAGAGACTGGACGCCTAATGGTTAACCTGTATACTGATACCACGTTTTCTGTGCCAACAGTAGGATTCCTCAGAAACCATCTTATGGCGCCCGGTGGCTCCACCTATCTTTACTACTTCACCAAAGAGCCGTCATTCCCCCATCTCCTGCCCGTACCAGCCTGGTTTAGGGGGGTGAACCACGGAGACGAGCTCGCCTTCATGTTAGGGCCTGCTAGTGCTTCTCTATTGAACGTCACCTTCACGGAATTAGAAAAGAACGTTTCCAGAGCTTTTATGACCTACTTTGCAAACTTTGCAAAAACTGGGTAAGTCTGAATACGTAAACTTTGAAGACGTATACATGTAGATGTATGTAGAGATCTAGTTCTGTCAGTATTACTGCTGTTCATCTTTCAACGCTTCTTCTTGGAAGGACCTTTGGAAATCAGCAAAAAAAGGTTCAAATACTGTATATTGGATTTAGTCACCAAAATGAATCTTCTTTGGGGGAAAATAATTTTTCCTGCTCGCAAAGCATTGTTCAACAGGCCCGTGCCTGTGGATTCGATGTCTTATTCCATTTTAATTGAAGGATTTAATGTTAAACGACTGGTAAATTATTTAGAACGTGATGTCTTCGTGTTAATTCAGAATAAACAGGCGACATCAGGTACTTTTGTTTGAGGTGTTTACGGTTTTAAAGGTCTGAATTGGGAATGATTAGTAGCTTTGCAGGATATTTAGACATAGAAATTTGATTTTTGTAAATTTTCAAGCCCGTACAGTGCACCTTTACCTTACGCTTTGCAATATTTGTAACTTTCCAGAAACCCCAACACTCCTGATACTGTACCAAACCTATGGCCGCAATATACGTATGCGAGAGAAGAGTATTTAGACATCGGTGACGTCATCGTCAATAAAACTGACGTCATACCACGGCGTATTGACCTCTGGTTAGACACCATCCCTGCGATACTGGCCAGGTCCACCACTTCCGCCCCGTCCACGACGCCGGTGGCTAGTGAGTCCACGACGCCGTTGACTAGTGAGGGGGTACAAATCCAGTTCAGCGCCTTGCTTGCTATCCTTGTTATGTTTAACGTCTTGAAGTTGTTTTATTGATGCGCCACTTTTTTATCATTACCGTTACTCCATTACCTTTTTTAAGAACAACGTTAAAGAAAATATCTCCTGAACAAAGAGAGAGAGAGATCCGTGTATTTAAAAGCGGAATGTTTTCCACAAACTTTTTGGTTCTGGAAAATCGCGGCGTTAATAAATGTTTAGATTGGACTTTTTCAATGTTACTGCTTTCTTGTATTATCATAAATTGTGCTTTGCACGTAATTATAACTAAAATGAAACTTTTCAATCAAGTATCATCTACGAGGCACTCTCGAGAGAACCCGGAACACGGATGTAACGAAATGATTCTTCAAGTATTGCCAAAATTAACCAAACTGATTATTTCAAAACGTACTAGGAAATTTTAATTTTAGAAGTTTGATTATAGATAAATGATTATAGATGCTTGTGAACTCTTATGTACTAATTTATCGTATCAGTGACGAAAATAAATGCTCAATCAAAGACCCCATTTCCAGAGATTAGATCGATCTACTTTAGATCGACCTAACTCCCTGGGGGTTCACGCTAAATAGCTGTCAGCCGAGCGGACACGAAAGTTAATTATCCCCTTACAGCTTGTGGTAGGCGGGACGGACATTTAAGCCGGATTATCTGACAGTAATCTAGTGAGACTCCCCGCGGGGATAGATCGATCTAAAAGCTCTGGGAATACAGCCAAAGAGTTTTCTGTATATGCTAGCTGAATAAAAGGCACCTTTCAGATTTAGCAACGCAACACAGACGTCCCTTTGTATAAGAATCTTTGACTATAAATCACGTTAAGTGTACAGCTTCTGTAACTGGATACATACACTAGATTTTATCTTCATAACTTTTTATAAAGGCTCTGATAGCGAAAAGTCTGACACCGAAAACGGTATTCTTTGTTTATACTGACTCTCCCACACGTGTAGGAGAAATTCTTGGCGTGCATGGCTTTTCATGATTTAGCTGCTTGGAATACAAAAAATTCGGGGTTGAATCCCCCCATGTAGTTAACTAAATGTGAGTAGTTTTATTTTGGAAATCTTCAGGAAATCGGGGATAAAGGGGCCTTGATTTTGCTTTGATTCTTAAAGATGAAGATTAATCGGATTTAAGACAAAGAGAATCTTCATCTTTTAAAAAACGATATTTGTTTTACCTTAGCCCCCTTTCAAGTCACGTAACACCACAGTAAATGTATATTATATATATATTTTGTGAATTTCGGAAAAGCTTTTGTGACGATTGATATATAATAGTCTACATATCACGAAAAGATTGTTATTTTTCGAATTACTTATTGTCCATGGTCACTAGTAAAAGCCCAAATATCATTTAGTATCATTTCTAAACATCTATTTTCTATTCGCGGTATATCTTGTGATCACGGTCTGTGCCCTGAATATCCCGCGGCGTATTTACTGGCAGCGCGAGCCAGTTACTTCCAAAGCTGTAATTAATTCTCGGCTGTGCTCGGAGGAGATTCTGATACCTTGACGCATGCGCAGTAGGAAGTTAGAAAGTTAATGGCGGTCGCGGTTGCTTTGAAAATGTGTTTGTCGATTTTGTGCAACAACAAGACGAAGAAGATGAAGAAGCTATGCACACGACAGATACGAGTGCAACCGTCAAGATCCGATGGTAAGCGATGCGGCAACGGAGGATGAGATTTTATAGAATGCGAGCACAGCCGAGAATTAATTACAGCTTTGTGTAAGTAACTGGCTCGCGCTGCCAGTGGGATATTCAGGGCACAGACTGTGATCATAAGATACCGCGAATAGAAAATAGATTTTTAGAAAATACTTTCCATGTGAACGAAGCCTAAATTTGCCCATTGGCATTGTGTCCTTACTCGTGAGTTCTCGAAGCTACCCCCCATCTCCCCACCCCTACCAGTACCTAAGCCGTCGTGTTAAGAGGCCGTCGTACTGGTGCAGGAGGGAGCCTTTATATCTACCTGTGTCACTTTGGTCTGAGACAAATGAAAATGGCCGATGGCATGTCAAATTTTTTCACGGGATTGACAATTTTGTACTAAATTTGTAACAAATGGTAATATCTACTATCCACCAAGCTGATTGTTTTTACATCTTAATCTCAGAGGGCCTCTTTGGCGTCGGCCTATTGAACAGCTCCGCCAGAGATATAGCTTTGAAAAAGACCCCGATCTCGAAGAAATGTCAGCGTCCCAGACAGTTGACTAGCCATGTGGGACACAAACAGTCGTACCAGCCCAGGGAGATGCCACCTGTAGAGTGCAGTCAACCCAGGGACGTCAAAAAGCCCGACCCCGACTACCGTCAGGTGATGAGTGTGGACTATTCAAACTAAGAAGACCTACGACACGACTGAAGCCAAGGAAAGTGACTGATTGCCAATGCAAATAGCTAACTGTATACTGCAGCTCGATCACATACATACAATGTACGGTAGGACCTCAAGGCTAGCAGATGGCTGTTGTGGTAATCAAAATAGCTTTCACATATGGAAGAGCATTCTAGAATACAGTAGACAAAGACCTACAGAGTTCAGTTGATCATGGTATGTCATTCAGAAGTAGCCCATACTCTAAGGGCGTATTCCCATAGATTTTAGATCGATGGGGAGTCTCACTAGATTAATGTCAGATAATCCGGCTTTAATGTCCGTCCCGCCTACTACAAGCTGTAAGGGGGTAATTAACTTTCGTGCCCGCTCGGCTGACAGCTATTTAGCGTGAACCCCCAGGGAATTAGGTTGATCTAGTTTGGATCGATCTAATGTCTGGGAATGGGGTCTTAAAGTTCATTTTCTCTGTTTAGGGGATTCACACTGTTTTATACATATAATTGTTTGCTTGACACTTTATTATAACACAGGATTTAATATGAAAATTTAACAAGAAAAGGTTTTGTTTAGATAAGGCTCACTGATGCTTTATTATACCTTTATTCAAAGAGAAGCAAAATTTTGAAAAACATTATTTGAATTTCTTTTTTGTGTCTCTTATTTCAATTTGCAAAGATCTTTTCTGTACGTGGACACTTCGTGAATTTCTTTGCTGACGTCATACCAAGAGATGACGTTTCCTCCAAAATTATCGCCACAGTTTGCCACTGCTGCAAAGTTAACATTGTCGGTGTTCCAAACATTGATGCTCGTGATGTCACCAACATAGGCTTGTGTAGCGTCAAATCCACCGCCTAAACGATCTTGATCTTGTCCAACAATCCAAACTCCATCTTAAAATAAGTTTAACAAATAACATATAGTCGTTTTGTTTTATTTTATTTCATTTTCTGATAATTCTAGTATAAAATTATATGAATAAACAATACAAAGGAAGGTACCAGCGCTACTACAGAAGTAAATGTGTGGCATATCAAAAGTGAGTTCAAAATACATGTAGGTGCGGAACATGCAACAACAGTTACATTGAGTACCGTTTGCTTAAAAACATATCCAGGGTAACCTGGGCCCGTAACTTGAAAGCATCGCGCATTCCGACCAAGCGCAAGCGTCTCGATACCATAACTCGCCCATACTCGCCCATATAATACATTGTAGCCCCTATGTGATATCGCAAGTCGCCATACGCGATGCTTTCGAGTTACGGGGCCAGGTTACCTTTCTCAGATGTCAACGATTTGAATATCACAAAATTGACTTATTACTAAATGACACCTATTTTCTTACTTGCTGGTATGGTTTTGTCCGTTTGGAAGCCAGTTCCCGCCGCTGCAGGCATACCATCTTTGTAAACCGTCCACTTCCCACCTCGATTGTTCCAAGAGAAGCACCAGTGGTGCCAAGCCCCATCATCGACTTTAAACACGGATGTGTCTTTATTTGAGTTAAATACATAGCTGTAGATGGCTCCATTCCTATTGTACGCAAAAAGGAAAGCGTTGTCCATACCACCTGCGGCGTAGGACAGGAAATGTGAATTTCCACTTCCAGTAAAGGCGGTCTTAGCCCTCAGGCACGCTGTCAAGGCGGTCATCGCAGGAGTGGCTGCCTGCAGCTTCACGTAGCTCTTTGTGGTCTGTGGTGATGGCAAGCGAAGGATTGTAGTTTTATCTGGAAATAGTTAAGGGACATTTGTCGTTTAACGTTTAGTAATGCGTGTGGGGTAGCGGATAAAGCAACAGAAAGGTGAGGTGTTTTATGATCTAAAAGTGTGCTCGAGGACATGGAATTCATAATATTTTTTCTCATAAAGTTTGACATGTGTGCATTAATCTAAATTCACACACACACACACACACACACACACACACACACACACACACGTGTGTGTGTGTGTCATATATGTTTATTAATAAATGTGGAAAAGTAAATTAATGACAGCATTCAAATTATTTCAATGTACGTTGCACTGTCACGTGTTGGCGTTAAATAGAGATTGTAAATCTGCTCTCCCACTTCTGACACCCGCAATTATACATGTATATACAAGGAAATACTGTTATTGCAATATTCTAAGAAATATTTTTATAAACGCTATTAAAACCCATGCATTTTCCTACAATATGTGTACTTTACCCTTCGAAACCACCTGTAATTTACCTGTTCATTTCCAGAACTAATTCAGAGCCCTAAGTCCTTTGGACGGGTACTTTTCTAGTATTTATATATTTAAAGATTGGAGATTCAAGTATTAACTTACCGCCATTGGACAGACCAGTAGTGATAAGTAAAACAGACGCTGTTAAAAGGTGCATGGTTCTTGGTTGATAGAGCTCTGCCTAAGTTTCGCTTAACAGACGAATGACTACTGGTATATCCGAGTGTAAAGTGTCACTTATATCTATGTTATTCTGTCTTGTTACTTGAAATATCATATGTCTAGGAATACAAACAGACAGCAGAATGGTAGTATCGTCTGATAGGAGGAACCTGAGCTGATAACAACGGAATCCTATACCTCACATCCTGTTTAAAGAACAACACAAAGCCATTTTAACTATTTTTAGCAAGATCTATTAAGGTACCGAAGATGAGACGATTGCACTTCACATATACGCATTACCAACTCACAGTGACGTTCATGTACGCTGCATGGTTAAAGTAAGAAATTAGGAATAAAAAACTACACACAGAGGGTGTGCACATTTACCATGCTTAAACTTTATCTTAAAGGTGTTTTCCCGGGAATTAAATCCAAATATACTATTTTAAATGTTTACATGGTCTCTCTCTCTCTCTCTCTCTCTCTCCTGGTTTTATTGTAAAGCATGCTGTTTTATGTATAAGAGATGTGATTTCCAATCATAGTTTTATCTGAACTAGTCGCACATTGGAACACGATCGTAGACTTACTTTTAGTAACGCCTGCATTTCACAATAAAAAATGCTGTTTCGTAGCTCAACTCCATACAGCATGATTCTTTTGCTATCAGTTATTTTTCAATTGTTTGCTGCTTTTATATTTATTAAACTTTGCATCATGCTTCGAGTATAATGCAAAATAGATTTCATTTTGGACAAAAATCAGTCATACGTGACATATATTGGCCGAACAACAAAATAGTTGTACTTCCCTCAACATCTTTTTCAAAGAAGCATTTTCTGAGGCCGTCAAAATGGGAATAGTATTTTCTTCTATCGCCTCGGTAGCGTAGTAGGCAGCGCGTTAGTCTCATAAATAATTCAACAGAGTCATCTGAAGGTCGTGAGTCCGATCCTCATTCGGGGCAGACCCTTTATTTTCGCCACGATTATGTAACATAAAAGAAAATAAGCTTAGACAATCAGAATATGATTTTGTTTTTGAGTATTAACTTCATTATTTCTTCGAATTAGCTTACTGTCGTCTGTCCATTGGTAGATAGGTGAAAGACCAACGCATACATATTATTTATAAATAATAAATAAATAACAAAATAATAATAATATTAACGGTAAACAGTGTAACAGCATATTTGGTTAGTGTTAAGTGATTATAAACATGTAGTATCGCATCAGACAGTATAACTGCCAAGCATTTTTTTTCGTTGAACTTGTACCTTGTTGCAAGATGTATATTCTACCGCCATGCACAGAGGCAATCAACCTTATGAATAGCAAAATACTAACTAAAAACTCCATTATAACATGATCACGGTTGTTTTATTTCACAAAATGCAAAACAAAGATAAGACAATGTGTAATAAACAATGTACAGATAGGTATAATGTTTAAGGTGCAATGAAGTTAAAGTGCAGGTAATCATACAATGTTTGCCACCGTGTGTAAGAAGAAGAGCGCGTAGGGGGCAAAAGACGGGGAGCTTATATTGGTGCATTTGGGAAACTAAGTGCATTTGGGAAACTAAGAGTTCTTTTAAGCTCTCAATTATATAATCTTGAGCTAATATGGTGCATAATACATATCAATCTGTTTTGGCATGCCACTGACCACACTATCACAGAGGTCCTTGGTTGTCAAAGTCTTGTTTTAAACCACTTTGACCGGCCTTTCTCCATGTAGAAGCAGTCTGGTCTAAAGCAGGCTTAAATGTGGATTTAGTCGGTTCTGGCCATTTTGATGTTCCTGTCACCGGAGAAGAGTCTGGAGATCATGGCCTCATTGAGAGCCCAGTCGTAGATCTGGACCTCATCGAGGAAGCCAACCAGGTTGGTGTTGCGGAAACCGCCATTGGCCTCACAATCCAAGTCTCTGCCCATGTACAGTGGAGCAAGTGTAGCTGGGATAGAACCTGCGGAAAAGATAATTTGAGCTTGTTATACTCTCATTAAGTAGGCTTGAACGTTACTTACAAGATGATAATAAATATCGCAGTGATGTATGTGCTTGCATGTAATACAAAAGTCAACAGCACTGAAACTGTCTACCTATTGGCAAGACAATGACCAATGTGTTAACTAAAAAGTAACTAAAACATGTAGGCTTAATATTTGTATTTTATAGCCGAATCAATTCAAATTGAAACAATTTTTCTTATGCATTTTTACTCACCAACAGCGATCTCATCCACAGACAGGTGTCCGTTGACATACAATTTCAGTCTGAGACCATCGTAGACCAGGGCCACGTGGTTCCAGCCATTTCCACCGTAGGAGCCAAGATCAACAGTCACGAGGGTGCCGTTGTTGTCGATGAGGACACGGCCACCAATATGGCCGCGGTCAGAGTACATGGTGATGGTTGGCTCGATGGCGCAGTTGCCGTTGCTGAGAAGACCCTCACGCTCGTTCTTAGCATGGGCGGCGTTGTCGTACCAGAAAGAGATGGTGAGGGCAGAGCCCCATGGGTAGTTGTTGAAACGTGGGACCTCGCAGTGGACGGTGCCGTTGAAGTGAGCAGCATATCCGACCTTTCCTGGGGCAAGTTCTACACCAGCGCAGTCAGTCCAGAAGTTATCGACCTTGGTGTCGGTATCCTCATCGAATGGCCACAGGGCGATAGCCTGGAGATCTGTAAGAAATTATCAAGGTGAGGCATGGTAACTTTTTTCGTGAAGTTTTAAGAACTGTTATTTTAAAGTATAATACGTGAAAAAAACAAGTACTAGTACATTGGGAAAAGAAACGTTCTGTACTTGCCTTGTCAACATAATTGTTTGTGGCAGAAAAACAAATACCAAAACATACTGAAATTGAGATTTTGCACTCAAATCTGATGCAAGTTGCGACTTTGCATTCTAAAGAAATTTTCAGTTTTGATATCAATTTACATACCTGGAACCATGCACATGCATCTGTGAACGTTGAACTCCCACTGTCCGCAGCTGACACGCTCGATTCTGGTGTCGTCACCGAGGGTCTGGGATCTGTAGAAGGTGTTGGCATCACCCCACACGGCCAAGTAGGTCCATCCGTCAGGGCCGTCACATTTGCCGTCAAACTGGGGAAGGGTGGTGTAACCGATGGTGGTGGTTGGTGGTGGAGCTTAACAAGAAGAAAAGGTAAGTTAGTGATTCTGTATTAATTTTAGTGTTTTAAAAAAGAAATGCTTTTTCTTGCAATCTGCATTTCAGCACTCTGCTCAACACAATTTATACGATAGAACTTTAACAGAAAAAATGAAGTTATAATTTTGCGACGCACTCAAGCCAGCTCTGCTGCCCCTTTTAAGGAAAGTTTGTATTCTAAAATCTGAAGTGTCTGTTAACTTACTTCTTGGTGGGCACTGTGGGTATGGGACCTTGCTGCCTGGGCAGGTGGCGACCTCACAGGGGACACAAGTCACGATGCTGCCGTCGAAGAGGGTACCTTCAGCACATTCCTTCAAGTGAACCTTAACGTTCAGGTTCTCGTCCAAGTCGCACTGGAGGTAAGTTCTGCAGTCTTCTGGGTTCTCGTAGTAACCGACGCCATTTCTCTCTTCAATGCACTTCTTGCAGAAGTCATTGAATTTGGGAGCTGAAAATAGAACATCGGGAAATATTATATTGGTTTTATAATATTGGGTATATTCTATTTTGTTTTATTTCGTTAAAAATTTAGTTGATATCAGCAAGATAAAAATTAAAGTACTCACCCAAATGATGCTCGTCGTAGACAGCGAAGGCACTGCTGACAAGGGCAAGGAGGACAAGGCGCAACATGGTGAAGCTGGAAATAAATAAGTTACGTTCATTTATATTTGCTTGCTTAATTTCGACGTTTATATTTTTCTTTCACTGCAACGTTGCTCGATTCATGGCGGATCCGATCAACAACCGATAAAAAATTGAAGTTCTTAGTCAAAAATTTTCAGGCAATTACATGTAGTTCCGTTTAATACTGCCGAAGTTAAAGTAAGTTATTACCTTTACCCCGCGGACTTGATACACTTGATCACTTTGCAAAGGCATTCAATGCTGTATTTAAAGACAGCATTGAGAGAAACGAAGTAAGGTACAGATAATATGTCGTATTTCATCCCGTATTAGCAAAACAATCCTAAACCTTTCTGAATAAGAAGTGAGACAACATGGTATCGTCCCTTGATGTTAGTCACCTGTACATCTCGGTCACTTACCTTGTGGTGAGGTGATCTTTCTAAGCTGTGAGCAGGGAAGATACTGAACCTCTGAGACGCAAGGGTTTATATACCGAGAGAGAAACAAATGGTCTCTTCACTATCCCATGTCTGAATAAAGTCACAGTGCGGCCATTCACAGCAAGGGTTAGAGGCAGACGTCTGTTTAGTGATAATTACCTGACAATTATCAGTCACGCAACGGCTCGTTAACAATGCCAGTGTTAATAAGGCATTCTTGGCGTGTAAAGACCGACGTTTAGATATTCACAGATATGTATTGACAGTATATGTAGAACATGTGACCGAGGACAGTGACAGGGCTGATTGGGATCATGAATAGTGTCGAATATCTCACCTGAGAGATTATACTATGTACGTGCCTCGTGCTAATTACTTTATTTCTAGTTCATGCTATTTATTCATTATAGCAGAATAGTGTAGGGTATGATAGTAGGCTATGTTTTAACCTGAGATATCAAAATTGCGGAACAAGAAGTTGTAAAATGAAAACCAATGACTTTCAAAACTAAAACATAATGTGCACATAGTGTTTCTGGTTTAAATGCACAAATCATTTATTTGCTTTTATAAACAATTTTAAATTAGCTTACATAACCGCCGATCAATGATAATGTCATGTACAATATTGTAAAACATCAAAATGAAATAAAATAATTATTGTTATTGTTATTGAATTGCCACCTTCAATTATACTGCAACAATATTTAACCTTCTTGAGAATAAATATGTTTAAAAAATATATTATTTAAGATTAAACTAAAAATATTATAAGACATCAAATAAACAAAATAGTTACTGTAATATTATCAAAAATCAAACTTAAAAAAATTA